TTACTATTCTTTCTTAGTTTTTTTTTTATATTTTATTTGCGAAAAAGTTCAGGCGAAATGCACAACAAAAGTTGACCATAGAAAACTGCACACATAGTCAAAGTTAATTGCGTATGTGGTTGTGTGCGCTCGCGCGAGTGTGTGTGTTTGTGTGTGTGTGTGTGTCTGAAAACTAAACTTTTTATTTAGGTAAGTTTATGTGTAGAGAACATTAAACACGACCCCAAAGCGACTCCGTCTCGCTCGTAATAATTAAACACACATTTTATGCTGCTAATGAAAAATTAGATGTTTACATTTAATTTCCTATTTACTTAGCACCCCATTTGCAGAAACCCTTCATTTCTGGTGCTCATCAAAAAATGTGTGTGTGTGTGTGTTTGTGTGTGACGTTGTAGTATAGTTTTCAGAGTTATGCAAAATCTACAAAATTCTATCATTAAAGTGCAATTAAATGGGGCAGATTTGGAAGTTTACGTGAAATTGGAATTTTTCTCATTTCTTGGCAATCAACTTTGCTGCATTGCTCTAAGCGATATTTTGGTTTTGATTTGTTGATTTTCCGCAAAGCTTTATATAACATGCATACATTGTTTGGCATTTTATGTAGGCCAAGTCTAAGCCGCTTATGTATGCAAAAGTCTGCAGATTACAAATTGTTGAACTAACTACAACCTGCACAGTACCCTTTCCCTGTTGTGCCGAACTTAGTTGTAATTTATTGGCTTGATAAAAAGCAATGAAGAAATTGCAATAACTGCATCCAATAAAGTCAAGACAAGGCAAATTTGACTATGCAAAAATATCATAAAATCATTGGAAAATTGTGAAAATTGAAAAACCTTACATATACTAGTAAAAACTTTTATTGACACAAACGCACTCAATGGGGGGCCATGACATTTATCATTTACATTGATTGCCCAATAGTGTTGTGGGTAGGGAGTAGTGTACAGAAAAGTCTATGAGCAGCGAATCCAGAGATGTTATTTGTAATTTATGAAGACATTGCCTTGAAAATATATTCGACTATATACAAATGTATATGTTGTATGTATGTATATGCACAGGCACAGATACATCTAGCATGCTGTAAGCCAGGTAATGGCAGTTGGTAGTAAGTTTCAGCAACATTTATGGCGAATTGTACGCAACGATGCATGAATTTCATTTTGTGTGAGTGTGTGTGCTGCAAAAATGTGGAGCAGTGACGCCAATTTCCCCTACTTCTCACCCTGTCCCCGCCGCATCAAACAGAAAAGTATTAAAAATGGCTCTTCAAAGTGCTGCCTACATGTGGGCAAATGTTTGCGGTTACATTGGGTGGATTTGATATGTCAGGGGTTGCCTTGGGTTGTATTGGGCTGGGTTCGCTAACTGTGGATTACATTTATGTGGTTGCAATCGGCAAACATACACACATACACACGCATACACACATGCAGATATGTTTGTACATGTGTATAAAAAGTGTTCACAAATTGTTACACATTGCCATCTGCTGCGCTTGAGGGCATTCAATGTGTGCTCCTTTTTTGCTGAAATATTGCATACATATATTATTTGTTTTTGGTTGCCTAACTTCCTTTTAATATAATTTTTTCCGTTTAATTAATATGCCAATTTGACAAGTTAGCAAATAGAAAAGCGCAAACAAGTTTGTAACTAATTGAAACTGTCAAAATCCTGGTCGACTAATTAAGGGCATCAAGCAAAAGCATAATATAAAAAATCAATAAATATTAATTATTATCGTAGTAATACAAATAATAATAATAAAGCCATTGAAAGAAAACCATCGCAAACAATTACTGTTCACATGCGAGCCCCATGTGCCGAAATACATTCACAGCACAGCAAATCCCAATGCTTAATTACTTTTAGTTGCATGTTTTGTCATATTTCATAACGAAAAACAATTAAAAAGTACATATAAATGGATTGTTTTGACTGCATAGTTTACCAAACAAACGCAGGCATTACGTATAAATCTCCTGCGAAAGCTTTTCTCCATATCCACATTTACAACATCTATTTATATATACACATATTTCTATATTTATAATACATATATGCAGATGACTTTTTGTACCTGTTTGGAATTATTAAGCTGCAACTTAGCACTTTTCGAATAATGAAATTATAGTATTGTATTTTTTGGTTGTTTTTTTTATTTTTTATGTGAGTCCTATGATAAGTCTATGATAAAAGTTTTTGGTAAGGTTCTACCGACCGCAATGGGTGTCAACTTATCAAAAACTTTCACGTTCGTCATTTGCAAATATTATGAGATTTCGTGCGACCCAAACTCTTGAATTTGTTAAGAGTGTTGAACATGCATATGGGTAGCATCATATTTTTTATTGCAAATGCGTGGCCCACACGCTGACACGCTCCAAAGCAAACCAAACTCGACTCCAACCCTCTCCCCCCACCCTACCATATTCCCTTTAGTGACAACTCCATGGCTACGCCCCCCATTGCTCCACTTGATCTGTGTGTCATTTTGCACGAGTTAAACACACACACGCACACACAAAAATGAAAAAAAAAGAAAAAAAAGGGGAAAGAATGGAGAATCCGCTGTGATTTTTGGCCATTACCAGGGAGCGACGCTTATCTCTGGCAACAAAGCATGGAACACACATGGAATTCGCATGGAATACACATGGTACTACATATGAAGCCATATCTATGCACATATCGCACGACAGAGATCTGCGACACACATTCATTTCTCAAACGCATTCCTCATGCTCTCTCGCGTTAGCTAGCTCCCGGCATCCCAGCAACTGTCACCCAACTCTAACTTCAGTTCCTGCTGCTGCTCCTGCTGCTGCTGCTGCTGCTGCTGCGATGACTACGAGTTTTGTGTTCGCTTTCATTTTTGGTCCTGCGAAAGTTTCTACCACATACGCCATATTACGCAAAATGCAAAGCATGGCGGATTGACAAAATAAATAAATATGAAAATTTACGGCAAAAGTTTTTTGTATTTTGGCAGTTCACTTAAAACTGTTTTGAGTGAGGGGGAATTGTGTGTGCTGGGCAACAACGGCTTGAACTTTTGATGCTGCTGCCGCTGCTGCTGCTGCTGCTTCTGCTGTTTCACAATTTATTGAAAAATCGATTTTTAAGCATTAAATGTGCCCCAGCAAAAAGTCAGCCTGCTTACAGTCCCACAAATCCTGCGGCTTTTCAGCAAATCAACACGGCTTGAAACACCCGTTGCCTCAAGCCAGAAGCCAAGAAGCCGAGGCAGAAGCAGCAGCAGCAGCGGAACCTCCTTTCAACCTCTAACCCTCAATCTGCATCAGTAGCTCGCAACTCAACGCGTGACTCTGTCGAACTTTGCTGTCCCAAAGAACAAAAAAAAAGAAAAAACCGAATGAAAAAAAAACATAGCCATCCCAAGTATAAAACCCAAGAAAAAAAAGTAAAAATTTATGCAAAGCGCTGCGAGTTACTTTAAGTAAAGCCAAAGCTGCTGCTAGTTTTTCACAACGCTCGAGAATGGGCCAAAAATTGAGACTCGTAAGCTGAGGTTGCTACTTGTTAAGGGTTAAAGGTGAAACTTTGAGTTTGTCTAAGGTTACCAAAGTGCCAGAGCGTGATGTATAAGTATTGTAGAACGAGCCAGTGCGAATAAGATAAGTTTTTTGTTGCCTGTTCTATGGAACGTTTGGGGGCTGTGGAGAAGCAGGCGATTTGTCGTCTATTCGCAAAAGCTGTCAGCGAATTTGTGCATTACTTGGAAGGGTGTCTCAGAACTCTTTTGAGTAACTTAAAACTGCGAGAAGCACGATTAGTGCAGTTAGAAACTTAAACATTTTTTTAAGAGACAAGATTCAAGTTGAAAATTCAATAACCAATATTTTATTATTTTTGTTTGTTTTCTGTTCATTATTATATATAAAGAAACATTTATTTCATGATCTGCCATTTTACTTGTATTAGTTGAATATTTATTATTATTTATTTGTCTAGCTTTTTAAATTATTGCGTCAATATACCATTTTTATTAAATAATCCTTTGTAAAACGCTTAAGCTCTTTAATAGTCCAATCATTTTCAACTCGATATTTGACCAAAATTTTGTAAACAATGCAATCAATTAGCGCTTGAATTAATCACTGAAATATTCAACATCAACAGCCATTTAATTAAATTTGACCGCAGAAATTGCATAACAAATTATCCAAAAAAATGAGGGTCAACAAAAAACCAGAAATTAAAAGCAAAAATTGTTTGGAAAATAACATGTTCGATTAAACCATCGATATTAAATCTGGCTAATTCTTACAAAAGCTGATTTGCAGCAACTCGATGCAGTAACAGATAATTTGCAAGGCATTCAAGTGAAACATGAAATTCAATTCCAATTGCAATTAAATTGATATCCATTATCTAATTGAATGCACAAAACCTCAAAAGTTAGCGTCCAGACAGATTGATAAGAATTGAAACGAGTACATTTCGCTGTCCATTACTTTTAGTAATTTGTATTAATTGGTCTCAATTACAAATTCCAACTAGGCGCAAATAAAAAATGGTAGAAAGTGGGAATTGAGGTGGGCAAGCTGGGTTAACCTGAGTAGCGTGAGCTGTGTTGACGTGTTTGTGTTAACTTGGCGCACATGCATAATTTAGAGGTTTTCTCTGCGCCCAGTCATGAAACGCCACACCCCCCGCACCCATCCTCCTTTTCAGCAGAATGATGGCGCGTGCAATCCGTGTGCGACGCTAAACGCAAAGTTTACATTGAAAGCCGCTTAGGTTGTGCAGCAGTCGCCGTGGCTGCTTTGTTAAAACTTTAAGTCAGCTAAGCGGCTTACATACCACACAATCACACACTCGCACACACACCCACACAGAGAGAGAGGCCAGCAGACACACGCACAGGTGCGCACATTTTGTGTGCCTCATGCGCCACATGGGGCAAAAATAAGTGTATTTTCCTCCATCCTTCACATATAAAATATACTCAGTGTGTTCGCATCTCTGCTTAAAATGTATGCTTTATTATTTGGAATAATTTTCACTTAAGCCCTAATTACAGCTAATTTTCATTATTATTAAGTATTACATGCAATCCCATTTTGTATACATTTATCAAAAATACAAATAATTATGCTGTACAGTTTTAGAACGCCGCCTGCATTGCCACCAACTCTGCCCCTTCGTCCTGCTCGCTTCTCCTCATTTGATTGCCAGCGTCGTTTAGTTAAGTTTTTCGAATGCGTCTCGCTTCTAAGTAATACTATGTACAAGTTAAATTTGGGGCTTCAGTCCCTTACATGCTGTACTGATAGCGCACATTGGAGGCCAGCTATTTGAAGATAAAGGAATAAAGTGTTAGGATTCCATTTTGTGATTGCCGAAAGGCTTGTTTCACGCACCTCGACGCCCACAAGGCGCTCGTCGTAATCGCTGCCGGCCTGCATGGCCAGCTTGGCCTGGGACTGCATGATGGCATCCGATAGTGAATCCCGCTGATATGTAGAGGAGCCCAACATGCCGCCAGCATTGCCATTCGCCGGCACCTTCAGCTGTGAATTTTTGCTGCGACAAAAGAACTCCAGGATGGCCACGATGACGGAGAGCAGCAGACCACCAATCAATATATAATAGATGCCCGCCACATTGCTAAGTGAGAGCTCATTGGGTGTGGCGGTCTCCTGGCTATCCAAATTGGGATTACATTCGGTTTGATCAAACCACCATTTGTTGCGCAGCTTGAGCAGCTCGCCGTTCTCCTTGAGTGACAGCACCGCCAAGTTGAGACGGTTTCTAAATAACGCACAGGGAGCATAAAGTGATAAGGTACTCTCAGTACAGTAAAAGCAGCTGCATCAATCAATTACCTAAGCGGCGAACCAATTGGCGTGGCTATGCCAAAACCCTTGGTATCGATATTGCGACCCACTTTCATGGTATCACACGGCGCCCGCGCGTTAACATATTCATTCTTCGGTGACTCCACAAGCAGCGCATACTTGCCCTTGGAGGTGCGCACTCGTCGGATGCCCTCGTCGTAGGTGTGCACGGACAGATGCGGATTGGCATTCATGTACTCCCACATTTTGCTATGCAAACCAATCTTTGAGCGCTGTGGGACAAGCAATTGATTGAAATTCAATATGTAAACAATTTTTTCAAATTAAATGTAATTTAAACGAAAATAGGCATTTCAACATATAAATATTTAATATTTATTTAGATAGCCACTCACATGAAAGAAATCCCATGTGGAGCCGTGCAGCAAAGTGCCATATTGAACATCGGTTTGCATGGCGAGATCCTCGGGCGATTTAATGGGCGCCACCATGCGCTCCACGGTAAGAAAGGCAGCCAAATTGGCTGTATAGGATGATATCAATATGATGGTAAAGAACCACCAGACGGCGGCTGCAATACGTCCGGCTACCGATGGTGGTGTCATATCGCAGCCCTGCTGCATAAATGCTGCCAGCGAATACCAAAATGAGTTGAGTAAACTGAATTCATTGGGGGCCAATGCCTGTTGCTCCTGTGGCTCAGTCATCGGTGCACCACCAATAATGCCCGGTGGCTGCTGGGAATTCGCATCACCAGCATTACGACGCACAATGCGCCACTCGTGTGGCGGCAATCGGGTGACAAAGTAGAGCACAATGCTTACGCCCACATAGCTAAAGATGACGCTCATCTGCACAACAAAAAAGAGGCGGAATACTAGCAAGAGTTGTTTTTTCTTAAGAAAAGTCCTTTTCTTTGACCTACCCAAATCTCCTGTGAGAGCGGATTGAGAAAACTGAAAACACCTGGAGTTTGTTTCACCGGCTTTTTGATCATTATACTTATGCCCAGCGACATAAAAGGCTTGGTAAAATCTATGACACGCTCCCGTTCCGCTGTAATCGTCATGGCTGCAATTGCAATGTCTGCCTCCTGGTTAAGCCACACCCATCCCGAATGACAAAGAAGCAGTTTACAAAATGTTGTGAGGCTTGTGTGTGTGTGTGTGTTTCTCTCACCTTACGTAACAGTTCACCCACCATGCCATCCCATCCACCTGGGGCAAACTGATTCTCGGCACCATAGCTGCCATCCTGCACCAGACGCAGCTCAACTGGCAAGAAAATGCAAAAGGATAACTGCATGCATTGACTTATCCAGATTGAGAACAGGAAACTCACTTTTGATTCCCAGCCGGGTGGCAATCAGCTCAGCCAGATCCTTGCAGTATCCCTCAAAGCGTTCGTTGCCAACCAGCTGCTGGCCGTAGCCAGCCTTATGCATTAGATATGGCTCCTCCAGTACACTTGTCACAATGTACGTGTGATTGCGTGTATAATCCCCATTGCTGGCGACCGACGAGCGCGAATTGCTGCTATGGCTATAGCCGCCACGTTGTCCATGGAACGGCAGAAAGCCAGTATCATCACGCCACTCGGCCACCTGTTGCAGGGTGCTGTTCACGGACATTTCGACCACCTGCAAGGTGTAGTTGACACGCCGGCCATCATCATCAAAGCGCACAGCACCCGTTAATCCATCGATTTCCACCTACAAAGCAAATGTGAACAGTGAGATTAGCATTGGGAATTGGGAATCACTGTGAAAACCAAAAAAAAAAACAAATAAAATAAAACGAGAATCAAGATTTTCAACTAACTGGAGAGTGGGAGAAAATCGCTGCAATCTACACGGGAAAATTGAATTAAGCATTCGCAGCATTGAAAGGATGTTTCTCCTTTTCCTATGTTGCAGTAAAATTTGTTTTTAATTTTTATAGATAAATATTTGCAATTTTCAACTTTCTGAAGTTTATTCGTGCAGACACCTTCTTTCGAAGTAAAAGTTTTGCCAATATATACTTAGAGTTTGTTGTTTCTTTTTCTTTTTCCTATTAAGTGCTTAAACTCGGGATAAGAAAGGTAGTATAAGTTGAGAGAATTGGTGCAGGATGTTTACTTGTTGTGATAAAAAACACCTATCAATATCTATAGTTGCTTCTCACTCGTCTCGATATTAATGATTTAAAATAAATTGTTTTCATTGCAATGTTTTTAAAGAATTCAACAATTTTTGCCTGCAAAAGAATTTCATCAACATTTTTGTGCCTGCACAGCAAAATATATGTATATATATTTATCTTACCTTGCGCAGAACTCGGGATATTTTTTCTCCCTGCTCCCAAGGCGTCACCCAGCCCTTGGATGTATTGCAGTCCAGCAATGCGCTGGACTCGTTCAATGCACCGGAGGCACCAGAGCCGCCCGCATGACTACGTCGCTGCAGGTGATTGGCACGGAACTGATCTGGTTTCTTGCGCAGAATGCGATTGAAGGCCTCGACAAGCACAAATACCGCATCGTACATGAGCGCTGCTTGTGCCTGCAAATAGTAGGAGATGAAGTGGGGAGCAAATATGAAGGTGCGTTAAATCGACTAGCTACACAGTTGTATTAACCAAACAAAAAAATCAGAAGCGTTGGCTCGGGTGAAAATTTACCGAAATGGCTGGCAGGTTGCCACCTCCCGCTGTGTTGGGAACACTTGCTGGCTCCAATCGCTTCCGGCTGTCGTGAAAATCACGCAATGCTCGCCGATTAGTGTCCACAATACGAAAGCCGGTGATGTTGATGGCTCCAAACTCCACCACATCGCTGGGCCAATGGTTATCCATGACCTACGCACAAAAACGTAAAAAAAACACACACATTACCAAAAAATAAAACTCAGCGAGGGAGAGAAAGGATAACAAAGCCCAGCGGATGCTGGCAATAATTGCTTATTAAAGGCGCGCAGCGGGAAACGGAAAACGGAAAGTTGTGAAGTTGGTAGGGTGGTGGATAGGTGGGCAAGGGAGTGAAGGAGGAGGAGCCGGAGTCGGATATTTTGGTATTTTGCACTCACCAGGCCGCTGAGCAGGTAATGATAGGTGCGCCTGCCGAGCTTTACATCCCGCACATGCTGTATGATGATCTCTTTGGCCATTTCCGCCGGGCAGTCGAGCACGATGCGCTTTTTGCTGAACCGCCCCAAATCCTCCATCGTGTGCAAAAATTCAATGGCCATCGTTACGTTGGCGATGCGTTTGACCATTTGCACACGAAATGTTTCATTTCCGGGCTTCAGTTCTTGATAGATTTGCTGCAAGCGCAGTAAGCCTACGAACAAAAAAAAAAAAATAGGGAGGCGGGGGCGCAAACGAGAGAAATACACAACAAAAAAAAACATGCCAACAAACAGCGCCCGATGGCGTACGAGTATTATTGAGTGCCATATAAGCCATATATATGTTGCATACTCTGGTCTGCCTGTGCGCCTGTATGTGTGTGTGTGTGTGAGGGGATATGAGGATGGCAATCAAAAGTAAAACGCCAGATAAACGCGATTTAAGAGATGAACTCAACTGTTGCCGGCCAACAACAAAAATAACAATCTGCATGAAGAACGAGACATGTTCAAAAGAACTATTGGAAAAACGAGTTTATGTTGTGAAGACTACAACTTTTGTGAGATAAGCTTACGATAAGCTCATGATAAGCTTATGAGATTCAGTGATTAACAACTTAACTTTCTCAATCCATTAATAAATTAATGTAAAACTTTAATAACTAATTAAAAGCAGCTATATTCTTAACTTATAAAAATCCATCTCTCCGCGATGCTACTTTAGCCAACCAAGTACTTCTCCCATTCTGCCAGAATCTAGTATTTATTAAATCCAATGTATCAAATACCCATAAAAAATAACTTGAATCAGTGCGTGAGCAAACCATATTATTTATGTTGTGAAACTGTTGCATGTGAATTGGATTTCACAGACTTTGAATATGGATTTGATGATTTTGGCCAAGTTGCCGGAAAAGTGAACCAACACACTATAAAATGTTTATTTATCTCTTATCGCTATTTGTTATTGTTCCATATTGTTTGGTATATTTTCTTTTTTTTTCTGTTCGACAGGGGTGGTGATTGCAGTAGCTTTGTCTGCTTATGAATACTTTATATACCCATTCAGTCACTCAGTCACACTCAATCACTACCTCAATCTCTCATTCCCAGGCCGCAAAAAAACATTTTCACACGCCATTTGTTGCACGTCGTTGTTGTCACAGATGCTCATGTTGCTGTTGCCGTTTTTGTTGTTACTGCTGTTGCTGATGTTGGTGCTGTTGTTATTGTCATTGATTTCTGGCTGCATGATTTGTTGGCATTGGCCACAAAACAACAACAACAACAAGATCAACAACAATAACGTCTACACTCACTCAGACCAAAGAGGAAACGGAAGTGCACAGACAATTGAAGTACTTTTTTTGTGGCACGCTGGTAACATTTCAATAATAAAATTGGGTGCGTGCTGCTGTTTGTTCAGCCATTTGGTTGGTTGCCGTTCTCTTCTTGTTTGTCTTTTTCTGTTTGTGTGTGCGATGATGTTTTATTGAATGCTTCCTATGTAGTCGCGTATTGCTTTTTCTGCAACTTTTGTATTCATGAATGCGCCAAAAAATATGCTACCAATTTGTCGCCGTGTGCGATGTTCGTTTACCGACCAAATGGCAACAACAAAAAAAGGGAGGAAAACAACCGAAAAAGGAGAAAAACAACAATAACAAGAACGATTGGAGATAACAGCGTTCCGGGTCTAGTAAAGAACAAAGCAATAACAACAAACTGCTGACAGAGGCATTAAAATATAAAGTCTCGCTATGGTGCCTTTCGTTAACAATGTAAACGAAGCCTGGCAACGTGTATTGAGCTGAAGTCGGCCAAAAATGCCAAAACACCACAACAATAACAACAATACGAACAATAACAGCAGCAGCCAACAGCAACCAGCAGTGGCAGGCAGCAGCAACTGTGACATGGCCCAAGCTGCTGCTACTGCTGCTCCTGCTCCTGCTGCTGCTACTACTGCTGCTGCTGCTGCTACTGCTGCTGTTGGTGTCGCTGGTGCGGTATTTCCGTTTCCTCTGCCGTTTGCCAGCGGCAACAATGTCGGCCTACTTTTCGGCAAACAGCACAAATATTAAAAAACGGCCAAAAATTGTTCAAGCACCAGTCTGCAGGCAGCAGGCAAAAAAAAAAAGACGACCAAGCGCTGCCAGCAGTTGCATAAAGTCATAAATTTTATTTCACACAGAGTCATTAACACATGACACACACACACACTCTCACACATATGTACACACAATGGAAGCAGTGCCATAACGACAGCCTGTGAACTCATTACAAAAGGCGCAAAAAGGCGTCGCCGTATGGAAATATGCTCAAATAATACACGCAGAAATCACTGCGACAACGTATACGTAATATCATCTGAAATTTTTACCCAACTGGAAGTCGTTCGTTCAACTGTGTGCCATTGTGTGGGTAAAAAGAATACGAATGTGTATTATCCGTGTCTATCTGCGTGTGTGTGTGTGTGTGTGTGTGTGTGTATGTGTCTGTGTGCCTGATGTCTTCATCTTTGGCCGTAATTGCTGTCGTCGTCGTCGTCGTCGTATTCGACATCGCACGTAGACTGCAGGAAATTGCTTTGAAATAAATTTCAATACAATAACAAGAAGCAACAGAATAAGCAGGCACCAGGCAGCCTACGACGACAACAACAGCAACAACAACAACAACAACATTATGTGGCATGTATGTATGTATGTAGCATGTAGCCAAGATTCAACCATATGTGTACAGTCCGTCTGCTCCTCTCCATGTCTACTTGTCCCTGCTCAAGCAGCCCTTCTAAGAACTTGAGAGCACTCAAGTCACAGAATGCCTGTCTGTCTCGCTGTCCCTCAGTCTGTTTGCGCGTCCTTTTACTTTTACTTTTAGCAGGAAGGCGCGGCCTCTTTGTGCCGCTTATTTAATTACATATTAGCAAAAAAAAAAAAAAAAAAAAAAAGCCAAAATGGGAAGAAAACGTTGCAGAAAACCGTAAGAAAAAGAAGAGGCTGATGAAGAAGTCCTGTTAAGTGGCACAAGCACAAGCATATTATAGACATGTGTTTGATGTTTGATTTCTGTTTACATTACGCCGTTTGAGGTGCAGTGAGAGCGAGAGATGGAGATTCTGAGAAGAATCATAAGAAGTTCAGACAATTTGCTTCTATTTGGTATTCTTTTAAGTGCGCTCTTACTAATTCTATAAATTTTTCTGCCTTGTCAGACTTAATTTGCAATTCGTTGAATGCTTAACATTAAGTAAATTGCATCAAAAAGCCCTTTTTTGTTATAAAAAGCACTCATTTAATAGAATAGTAATTTTTAAACCCATCTACTTGTTTTTTCTCGCATAATTGAATAAATAAATTGTAATGGCATTTAACCTTCGTTCCACTCGAAATGAATTTTCATGTTAGCGTTCAATAATGAAAAATTGAAATTTTATAAATTTATAGTTGCAATGTTATTCAATTAAAATATGTTTTTCATGCAGGTAAATTGAAACTCAATTATGAACTATATGTATACAAATGCCCTGGCAAACATATTCCGTTAATAGTTGTAATTTTTCCATACGACTCTGTTCCAAACACTTTTGCTTAATAAACGAAATAATCTCAAATAATTGACATTGGTTTGTTACAGCCCTCGTTACGTTAGCTTCGCTGTGACACAACTACAACAACAAAATGTCAGACTACTAAAAAAAAAAACACACACACACACACACAATAACAATAAAAACAACAAGAGGAATGAGCTGAGGCCCCATTTGTTTAGCGCTAACGAAAGCGAAAATGAAATGAAATCAAAATACACGCAGTAAACAATGGGATAATGTGGCGCACATTTAGAGCCGCTACCCATGCAACTCGAACCCCCCTTTTTGGATTATCTCTCATACTCACCATCATGCGAATCGTATAGATAAATAATGCTTTGCCAGCCGTAGTAGTGTATGGTATCAATAATTGCCTGATGATAATCCGGACGCATGCTGATTGCAAAATCCAACAGGCCCGATGACGGGGTAAGCACCTAGAAGTATGCAAAACAAAGCGATCCATGAGTGGAACAACAGCTCTCAGTTCGCTAAGCATTAAGACCGAGCGGGGAGTGTCTTCGTGTCTGTGTGTATGTGTGTGTGTGTGTGTGCGTATGTGTCAGCCCACCACCCTTTGAATCTAACAATGTAATGTGTACGCTACATGAAGCAATAATAAAATGAAACGCGTTTCCGCTTTAACGCTGCCAGGCAGAGCTTGGAGAGACGAGCGGTGGCTGACTGACAGGCGGGAGTGTGGGTGGTGGGGGTGAAGAACATATAAGCCCTGTCTTTTGCCTGGCAGCCAAGTAAGTTAGTACGAGTATATGCACGATATGTATATGGTACAACAAGAGATATGTACACAGAGACCCGTTTCCGTTTAGCTCTATAAATACGGACACACACACACACACACGCACACACACAGCCTGAAGGCGCACGCAAATGCGCAGTCTGTCGTTTGTGTGTGTGTGTGTGTGTGTGTGAAAGAGAGAGAGAGCTGTTGTTGTTACTGCTGCTTGCCGACGCCATATCTTGATTTATAGTGATTGAAATAAAAGAGGCCAAGAGCGCATCATAAATTTTTTTTGTGCGCTCACTGCTGGGTGGTGCGGTGGTGCAGAGATGGGGGGAGAGAGAGACAGAGACAGAGAGAGCTGTGTGGTGGAGCGCACATTGGGGGCGCTTGTTTGGCATTGTCTTCCGGCTGCGGCTCTCCAGCTTGGGTCTCTTTGGCTTTTTGTTTTGTGAAGTGGCAGGCACAGTGACAACAACAGTGCCGCAACAACAAGCGACTTGTTGTTGGTAGTAAATTTTCTTCAAATTACAATTATTATGATTTGTGCTTTGCTTTTGATTTAGTGCAGTCGTCTGCCAGCCACAACAACAACAGCTTTCTCTGTGTGTGTGTGTGTGCTTATGGCCACTTTATGCGATGGCTTCATTTTTATAAACTCCAGCTATGAGTTTTTGTTCTTGTGTTTGTGTGTTTGTCCCCACTTGGCTGTCCCCAGCAGCAAGCAAGCAAAACTGCAGCTTGATGTTTAAATTAGAAATGTTAACCCACTAACCACCACCTTTGCACACCCCATAAACTATAGCTTAAGCTGTTAAGTGAACTGTATGAAAAGTTATGGCTAAGAAAATATATATATATATATATGTATATATATATATACTATTCTATACTATATGTCGAATGTGATGCACTTCAAATCTAATGGCTTAATGCAAACCTTTTCAATTGACAGTAGAGTGAAAAGTGTTTCATGTTTTTGTTGCGCTTGTCAGTCACATTTCCTATTTTACTCTATGTTTGTAAACACTGTCATTCAAAATATAACAAGCTTTTGACCTGAATTAAATGGTTTGAAATTTCACAGTCTGCTGCCAAAAACACAAAAATGTGTCGACAGAAAAGAGTTGTTCTATCTGTTGTCGGGGCGAAATGAAACTAGTTTTGATATTTGCATTTGGATATGCGTTTGCCATTAAGCTGCCATTCTACAGAGTTGCCAGAATAATTGCATTGGGCTGCTACTCTGATTACTGTTAGTCGGCATATCAAACTCTTTTATTTTAAATATGTAAATTCAATGTTGCAATAAAATAAAAAATAATTGGAAGAACACTTAACAACTGCTTTGTCGAAAATTGTCTCAACTGATAAAGGAAGCAAAGCATTCCGAAAGTTTGACCTTTTTTCAGAAATGTTCGCACTGTTGCCATTTAATCATATGTTCATTGCATTCGCTCATGTTCATTTCAGATATGCAATTGTCAATCGAAACTTTTCTACATAATATTTTCCAGTAGATTAGTCGACTCTTGGTCAGTTAGTTCATTAGCTGTTTTGGTTAGACCAGGTCACCCTGCATGATTTCAGTTTTGTTCGTCAAACTTTTGTTGTACATTCCGCTTGCCTGACATTTGCTGAAATATTTGTTAATTGACTTTTCGACCATATAAATAACACAAAACATTCTTAGGCAAATCTGTTTTATTATTAAAATTTATTTTGCATATCTACAGAGTTTCGCAAGGGCTGATGAAGAGCTTTAATTATAATTTCTCCTACTCACGACAGCATTCCACACACAACAAATACGCATTCCACATATTCGCTTTGTTCCGTTACGATCTTTGCCCTTTTTTCCAGACCCTCTGGCAACTTCATTACTCGTCAACACGCACACACACACACACACACACACACACACACACAGAGACATACATATACTTATACGTGAGTGTGTGTGTCTATGTGCGCGTTACTTAGTTTATTGACTCTTCTCTGTGCCAGGCTCACAGTAGCATGACTCTCTGGCTGACTGGCAACAAACCACATCAAATGTAAATAACTGCACACAAAATCAATTACGTATGACATTCTTTTTTATTGTGGTGTGCTGCGATGTACTGTAGTGTGTGGGGTGGGTGGTTGGGTTTTTGGGATGGGTCTTTTGTAACTTACCTTTTCCGGAAACCAGGGCGTCACGAATGGCATTTGGAACGTATTCGAATAGGAGTGCAATGTGTCAAAGGAGTCCGGCGATACGGCGCCCAGCATTGAGTAGACTCCGCGCGAGAATTGATTGCAAACTGCAGGTTAAAGCAATAAATTTCGTTTTTGGCAACGTGAGAGAAACGACCAGAAAAGAGACGGGAAAGAACGCGGCAACAAGGCAACAGTTACAGTAGTCTTTGGGTATTGGGGTAGGTTGCCCAAGGGGATGAATTTATATATGTGTCAGTGTGTGTGTGCTTGTGTGTGTATGTCTATGTGTATGAGCAGTGTCTAGGTCGTGATGCAAATGAATGTGCACAATTAAAGTGCTGCTGGGATAGGGGATGGTGGCATTGGGAGTAAGCTGGTGCAATTTTCAATAAAAATGCGCATAATTAATGTGGACAAGTGGATGGTTTTTTTTTTTTATTTATTTACAGGAGGGAAGGGGTTAAGAGAGACAGGCAACTGTTGAGTGATTTCACTTTATTGTAATTGTTATATTTTGTTGTGTGGCAGAGTATAGGGTACGTGTGGGCTATGGATTGGGCTGATGGGCGTGGCAACACCTACTCAAGCGCGATAATTTAAATGCATCCGCCGTATTGATGACATCAACGTAAGCCTGCAACTCGAAACGCCGTGCGCTGACATTCAGATTGTGATTGAGCATTGCATATTTAAAGGCTGATTGCACATCGTCCGTGCCCTGCTCGAAGATGGCGCCTGTGAGAATAGAAATAGCGAGAGGCAGTTAGAGAGAGAGAGAGAGAGAGAGAGAGGGAGAGGGAGACAGTGAGTGTGTTAGGCCATCTACAATATATTTTTGCTTCATTAAATATTTAGGCGGCTTTTGACACAGTCCTCTTAATATTAAACGAAAGCGCACTGAATAAATATTTACAGAAATGATAGTATGGCCCACAAGGACACTCATACATATGCTAACACACAAACACAAACCCACACACACACATACACACAGTCACTCTAATGCCGAGCGAAGTGTTGATGCAGCAATTTTGCTCGCTGCGCTTTTGCACGGCTGACAGCAGGCAGCTGGCAGCTGACAACAAGCAATCGTCCTGCAACAGGAGCAGGTGAATGGCTTCGTGTGCTAAAGCCAAAGCCAGTCAGCATGACTGTCACATTAGCACAGCGAACTGGAGTATGCATCCAAGCACACACACACACACACACAAACCAACACACATTGGCACAAAATGACTGCAGGCACTGTGACTAAAGCGCCACAGCATAATAAAAAAATAAAGCAGCTGAACACAATTTCGTGAAATTCGTAAAAAAAAATAAAGAAAACAACACCAAATTGTATTGTATATGTTCCTGTCGGCTATTTCGCCACAATTTCAATTATTTTTCTGGCAATGCAGATGCAAATTAGTTAAATTGAAAAATTGATTGGAATCCATATACATTTTTAAAATGAAAGTATAATTTAAAAAATACATGTGCTAATTATAAAAATCATATTGTGTTATAATTAATGTGCAAATATTTAAACAAGGCACAAAGCAATCTACTTTTAAAGTTATCATTTTAATAAATTTAAATATTTTAAAATTATTAGCCAAATTAAAAGAGAAGAGCAAAATCATAAATCTTGGCGGAAAGGAAGCCAATAAAGGAAAAACACAATTTGGATGCCAATAATTATTTGGCTTCCGAAACTTTTGCTATAAGTGCACTCCAATTTTATGATTTGCATTTTTGAAATGAATCCTACTTGTAAACTGAAAAGGATTGTAGGAACACATTCCATACAAATAGACATACACACGCCTGGATGAATTCACAGAAATACAATCACACCCATAACCATTGCCATTACACATTGTAGCACAATTTTGGCGACAACTGCAGCAGAGTCCTTTTCGTCCTGATGCCGCTTGCATTTTGCATTTTGCTTGCTTGCTTAGCTGCTGGTTGCTGGTTGCTTGAGTGTGCCTTGGGCGTTGCTTTTGATACTCACCTAATGGTATTTTCTCGGTTAACGATGCAGATTGTTGTTGCTGCAACTGCTGTTGCTGCTGCTGAGCTGCGCTAAATTCCAAGCAGCAAATGCTGGCAGCGCACATTAAATGTAAATATGCCAAGAATTTTAGCCTCGAATGCATTTTGTATTGCTATTTGTTATTTGCTATTTGCCGCTGTTGCTCTTGCTACAAATACGTTGAGAATTTGCCACTTGTAAATTTTTCTTGTTGTTGTTGTTTGTTTTTTTTTTTTTTGTCACTATGCGTTTTTCTTTTCGGGTATTTGTGAGATCAATTTGTTGCAACTACCGGAATTACTTGTTGTTCATTGTTGCACCGAATTTATTGCCTACTTTTGAGCGCGCGTTTCGATTAGCTAAAAGTTGACTCTTTGTCATTTATTGCTTGACTTAATTTAATTTTTATAATAATTTATAATTAGTTGATACGATGAGCATTTTTTTAATTATGTATTTATTGATGTGCTATTTGTATGCTTATTGGTTAATTTTAACACTTAACTAAATGCCGTAGTAATTTAATTTGAGTAAGTCTAGCTATGTTGTTGGAGTAGTCCCACCAAGTAAGTTGCTTATAGGCGCACTTTAAGTCTTGAGCACGCTTGACTTTAACTAAAAGCACACGCTACCCTCAACCCTCAACCCTCGAGCGAGTCATTCGATGCCCTCACTCACTCACTCACTCACTCGCACACTCACTCGCACACCACACCACACCACACCACAATAGAGCAGACCAGCCTCAGGTCGCACACACACGCACACGCAGGAGGAGAAACAGGAGCTGCTCTGCAGTTCACTTCTTTTGTCCGCGCACATGAACCAAACGGCAACGCGTTGTAATCAGCACTAAAAACGCCTAAGCTGCCCAGTAACGCGAGAGCAGAGCAAGCGACAATGCTTCGCTCCGACCACAATCCAAATCTGTCGTTTTGTCGCCCATGTTACAATTTTCTCTCGTCTCTCGACTCTCGTATCAGCTGGATGCTGGCTGCTGTGCTCTTTGTACTAAAAATCCACTCACTCTCAATTTACTGCTCGCTCTCGCTCTCTCGCTTGGGCTCTCTTGTCTGCAAAGCGCTTCAGCATCGCCAATTACTGACCTACTATGTTTAGGACTACACAAGTTGGAAATTGATGTTGTTGTTTGTGCTGCTACATATGGTTGTTGCTGCTGCTCTTTGTAGAATGTTTGTTTACATTCTGCCTTGCATTTTTGGCTGCATAATTGATACGGACAACAGCAACAAGAAAGGCAACAACTGCAGGCGGCACTGCTCTGCTCGATTGCGCTCAAATCGTTTTTTCAACCATCGCACATTTTGTTCGCAGCTTGTATTCCTTTCAGTTTTTACTTGATGTTGATTCTTTTCTGCTTTATTTGCATTCTTTGCGTTCTATTAGCGATGCTGTGACAATCCTTTTAACAAATCTCATTAGGCTGTCAATTATGTGACATTGTCGTTAGAGCGCAGTGTAATGAAATCTCATTAATTGAATTGAATTTCTTTCAAACATAAAACTTAAATGGCAAGTGAACGAACGCTGTGCCATTTGCCACGCCCAGCAAGGACGCCTTGCATATTGTCGACGTTGCGGCGTATGATTTCATCATAATTTGTAATTAGTTTATAATGCGCACGGAAAGCACTGACAAAAAGCAGTTAGTCCGAGTGACAGTCAGGACAGTTGACTGCGCTTAACTTCAACAACAACATGAACCAGTACAAGAACAAAAGCAGTATTCAATATAATAAGTATATGCTGAGAAGTTGGGGCAGTAAGGTGGATTTGGCAGTGAACAACAACAAATGGGCAAAGTCAAGCCAATAACCATAAAAGTTAATGGCAAAATTTTTTAATTAAGAAAATCAATGAATATTTTTTTCATCATTTCATTTTAACATTGTACTCGCCGCCATTGCTTCTATATTTGCTTTTTTGCAGCTCCTTTCTTTTCCCCTTCTTCACAGCGAGCGCTTTTAATGCTCGCTAATAGGTTTTAACAACTTTCATATGCAGTTTGTAACATGTAAGAGGAATGGCGAATGGCAAACAGAGCGATAAAGGAATAGAGTGGGATAGACAGAGAGAGAGAGAGAAATTACTAATGAATGTAACTCAGGGTTACTTTGATGATTTAAATCATTTATAGTCTAGAGTTTTATGAAGATTAAGAAAAAAAAATGGGTTTTCATTGAATTAGAATTCATTATACTAAGTTGTCTGGCATAAAGATGCTAAGAAGCCGAAGCAGACTTCAGTTTTATATACTTTGCTGGTTTTTGTCTTTTGAAGCCTTTACATTCTCAAACTCAACGAGCTTAATAAGCACTGTCAATTATCCGAAGTATCTTCACGCAGCAAATTGATTTCTTCTACTCGAAAGTATACAAATGTTTCTCAACTAAAACTAACTAAAAGCTCTAATTGCTTTCTATGCAACACAAACTTTAAATATCTATTTAATAAATAAGGACAGTTCTTTAACTTTGCCGGCGGTCAACAAACAAGCCAACTAACTATCAACCACAAAACAAACAAATATATTAATAAATGAGCAAACTGAAACAATTTCATATCATAATTAAATTGTCCTCTCCCTTTCCCTCTCGCTCCTATTTATTCATTACGCAGCCAGATGGCGGCATTGCAATATACAAAACAAAAATCAAAATTATCTTTTTTTTAAGTGCAATTATTTAATGCAAACTCTAATAAAAATTTTAATTGCCCTTTTTCATAAATATGTAAATTGAAAAGTGTATATTTTTTAGGTGGTGCTAATTATTTACAATTAAAATTTATGCGGCTGCCTAAATCAACAAACTAAATCGTTTAATTAAAAAGCCGCTGGCACACAAATGAAACAACAAAATTGTTACAGTCAACAACAAAAACTTGCAACGGCAACAAAACTGATATTGCTTGAAGCCGCAACAAAATCAGAGCCGCAAGTATAAAAGATAAATAAGTGGCATTGTCGGTTTCATTTCCGGTTGTTGCATTTGCATTCAAATGGCTGTGGGAGTGAATGAGTGTAAATATATGGCTGTATGTGTGTGTGTGTGTGTGTGTTTATGTGTGTGTGTGTGTGCTTGTAAGCGGTATATAAGCACATTTCCAACAGCTTTTTAGATTTAAGCGCTGCGCGGCTAAAAGCACAAAAATAAAGCAATAAAAAGCAGCACGCCACAAGAAAAAGTAGAAGTAGACGATGGGAGAGGCGAAGTGGAAGGAGGACGACCCAACGAACGTCGCTTTTAAGCAAAGGGGGAGGCAAAGGCGGCACTTCGTACAGTTAGTAGCAGCTGTCGTTTCCGTCCACCCACTTCTGCCCTCACCCATCCATTCGCTCGGCATTTGTATTACCGACTGCCCGCCTGATTGCCCCGCCAGCTCCGCTGCTGCTGCTGCTGTGACTTAGCCTCGACTGTCTTTCAGTTTCTCACTTCATCAGTTACGCCAAAAAGGAGACTGTGCAATAAATTTCGCTGATTGCTTCCGCTCTTTGGCCGACCCGCCGCCCGTCCCGTGACTAGGAGTCGTCCCAATCTAACCTCGACTGCGATTTGGCCGACTGCCTCATTTTTTATGCCGCTTGATAAAGTAATATCCGTTTTAGGTATACTTTGTTTTTCTCGACACTGGGTGGGTGCACCCCAAGCATAATTTGGCCATTTGATGCCCTGTGGCGTGCATATACATGCAACATACATATATTAACAAGTGCAGCGCCGTTTATATCAAATTAGGTTTCATCTCTTTGATGCCCACTCATCTAGTCCATGAATGTAAAATAAGCGGCTAAATGAAATCGTATTAAATATCATTTTTGCTGTTTTTCAGGATAAGGTGTGGGGGGAGTATTTGCTGCAAGTAATGGTGCCCAAAACTTTATGCTATAATTTGCTCCCAACGAGCTGCAGTCGCTTTTGTGCTGCTCGTTGTTGGTCTAACACAGATTTGTGGCCTTGCGACTGCCCCAAAGCGGGGCAAGGACGCTGGGGGCGTATGCCTCATATCAGAGCACGCATACGCAGTGTAGGTCAATGCTGATGGAGATCTCACAATCCCCCGTCTTTCATTCTATGCATGCCAGCCAAGCAGTATGCGTGTGTGTGTGTGTGTGTGTGTGTGTGTGCCACTGTGTGTGTAATTGAAACTTCCGCTTTGGTCAGTTAGCGCAATTTAGCAAGCTGCAAAAAAGTTAGATACGGCTGAAGTAACAGGCAAAGTGCAAAGTCCAATGCAGCTACTTGGCTTTCATTTCAATTTAAACTTTAAAAAGCAAACACACACACACACACACTCACACCAATGTGTGTGTGGCTGACTGTTGGTGTGTGTGTGTGGCTGTGTGTGTAGCCACATATAGAAATGAAAATTATTTAAAATGATTTATTTCACAACAATTTTCATTAGACGACCAACTGCATTGCAGGTTTCTACCACACCCTTACTGTCCACCTCGTTAACTTCTCTCCCCCCTATCTCTCTCTCTCTCTCTCTCTCTCTCTCTTCTCACGCCGTGCACTAATTCACTTTTGCTGATTTTTGTACAAAAATATGCGAATGCTGCCTTGGAGTTGGCGCCTTGGCAAACGAGTTGAAGGAGCACGGGGCATGGGGCAAGCGATGGTTTGAGGTATGTGGCACTGGCGGATTTTCATACATGTTTCATATGAAATAATTATATATGCGGTCAGCCGACTGGCTGCAGGCAGTGCAGCATCATGTCTGACCCTGTCCACCCCGACATCTGCCCCATACCATCCTCCTACCCAAATTCTTCTATACCGATCCCTTCAGCACGCTTCTTCCCTGTGCAATTTGCTTTTCGCTTAGCCAATGGCAAAAAAAAAAATAATTTAAAAAAAATTAAATAAAAATGTTGCAAAATAGAGAGCCAAAAAAAAATAAAAATAATTCTACAAAATGTGCTACTGCTACATGTTCGGTGTTCCTTGTTCCGTGTCGACTGCTGCATAACTTTTGCGGAAATTTGACTCTGGGGCGCTGCAGCCACGCCTCCTCTTCACCGTCCAGACCACTGTCAGCGTCTGTGCGCAAAAATTAGTCGAAAAGAAGAAGCATGGTGGATAAAAAAATGTGCTTGGTAGAAGCAACTTAAAAAAGGTTAACAAGCGGCAGAGCGACGAGGTACCACCAAACAGGGAATAGCGACCAGCAACAAAAAGAAGTTATAATTTTTGGCAGGCAACTGCAACGAAAACAACAACTACAACAACAACAAACAACAAGAGCAACAAGAATAACTACAAAAGGGAACGTTAATGAAAAGCAAGCGTGAAATAAAATCATAAATTTTGCAGCGCTTGCACGACACGACAACCAGTGGAAAATGCCAGTTTGCAAGTGTGTGCGAGTGTCACTGTGTGTGTATGTGTGTGTGTGCGAGTGTGTGTACTTAAGCTGTTATTTTTGCTTTGCATTTGTATGAAAATGTGCGCACGTGTGTGTTTATATGTGTGTGTATTTGGACAGACGGTTGCTTGGACAAGTGCATTTGCGGTCTGCCCCCAAATGTATGCCACATTAATGCTGAGAGTGGAAAGATCTGCAGTTGTGTGTGTGTGTGTAGGTGAGAGGGTATCTGTGTGTAAGTGGCTCGACATTAACTGGCAACACTGTGCAACATCTAGACTACATTTGGCCAGCAGTGGTCAGCTTAGTGTATATCCCAGTATGTGGGGGTGTTAAGGTTCTCCCAACTTAGATGCTGCAACGGAACTAAAAGTGCTCCCAAAACATCTGCTTGGGGAAATGACAAGAACATGTGGGCGGTGATGTCCTTGGTACTCAGCTTGTTATGCATCGGGGGCAAGAGAGCTTGCTAATCCAATCTGTATTAAGGCCAAGTAGCTAATAGTAAATCCAACCATATATTCCAACTAACATATTTCGGACTTTAAATTCAAGCAAAGAAAAGTAGAAAAATATGCTTAATTTGATCAAATTTGGATGAATGTTTCAATTAAAAAAAAACAACAAACCTATTTAAATATAACAAACACCAAATAGACACACAAATATTTAATTTCGAGGAATTCAAGTAAAGCTAAATTAAAATGGCAAATAAATGCTTTAGCAAATTCGCATATGTGCTTTCAATAGGTTTGCAACTTGGCTAAGTGCAGTGTTGATGGTTGCTGCACGCTTCAGCTTTTCTAAAGCTTTCTGTTAAGTTTAACAGAGCTGGTTGCATGGGGAAGAATAAAACATTGAATATTTTTAGAAAATTGTGTACATACTTTATTTAACTACTTTTGTTTAATGTACGTTGCGTTTCTTTGATGTTTAGGGCTCTAGAACATTTTGCCAAGTTGATCGAAAGACATGCGCAACAAAGGCATAAATAATTGTTTGGAATCAATGAATCTTAAGATAAAGCACTGCTTTTGCATTTGAGTGTGTTTGAATATTAACTTATAAAATGCATTGTTCTGTTAACAATTTGTGTGTGTTTTGTGTGTTATATTGACTTAAGTATTTGACTATGATTAAAGCTAATCAGATTGTTTTTCTTTTTCTTTTCATTAATGCGATTTTTGCTATAGCACGTTGTAACAGGATTTAAAGCCAAAAACCGAGCAACATTTAAAATATAAAAAAAAACACACATTTTATCAATTTCATTTTCCATTCCAGACACACGCACAACAATTAAAATTACACTTCCAGATAATAAATTATTTTAGCTATGGCCAGGCCCAAATGAACGGCTCAATACTCATAATTTGCACTATTTTTGCGATTTATCAATTGATGATTGATTAATAATATATGTATGTATACATATTATTTTGTGTTTTATTTTCATTTGCTGTTTATAGACCAGCAGTGATAAATGCTTATCAGTATGTTGTAATTTTATACCTATAGGTAAGTAATTTGTATGTATTTGGTTGTATTTTTGAGTCCAGCTACAAAACGTTGCATAAAGTTTGTATAAAAGTTGTTGTTCATTTTGTTTTCCTGTTGGTTTTTTCTTTCTTTTTTCTATAGTTAGATTTCTGTTTTGTTTTTTTCATATATCTTTGACTAGTAAATACAAAAACCCAATCAATCTGTTGGCGATGACAATTAAACCTACATTCGCTATATATTTAACACTATATATTATATATACTCTATATATATTATATAGTATATATCGTATGTTAGAAACAGATGCTATAAAATCACTGCCAGCCTAGGCTAGCATTTTGGTAACTGTGTAAACGTATTGCCCATAAGACTAACAATCATATTCAATAACTCTATATAGATATATATATATATATATATATATATATATATATGTATATTTATATGTATATATATATATGTGTGTGTGTATATGTATGTATATATGTAATTCATAAGCGCTAATATTCGTTAATGCAACAAGTCTATGTGGGATCATCGCCATCGGATCAATCGAAAATGCAGACAAACACGCGCAGGCAGTTAATGCCCACCTTCTCCCAGCAGCCCTCCTCGGTGGCTCGACCCTCGTGGGCCAACCGCATCTTCTTTGGATAGTTCTTTGGACTGCTCCGGTCGCTCAGATACACAGGCATGCGGGCGTATTCGGCGCGTGGTGTGCGAAACTTCTCCAGCAGTTCCGTTTGCTGGTCCGTGAGGTTCTTTAGCTTTTTGCCTGCATGAAACACATTTTAGACACATTTCAAGTTTATTCAATCGTGCAAATTGATGTTGATTAACTCACCCTCGAGGGCATCGCTGACTAGGGATGTCTCCAGCGGCGGCAGCATTTCGATGCGTTCGCAACAGCGTCGAAATTCTGTGGCAGTCATGCAAAGATAGCGCGGCGTTAAGCACAGCGGACCGAGCACCATGCGGCGATTGTCGAGCGTACCATCGAGATTCTTGCGCGCACACTCCGCCAGACTCCAGTTGGCCAGGCACTCGAAGAGGGTCAACTCGGAGCGCAACTGGAGCGTGTCACGCTTGGCCAGCGTCTCGAGCTCCTCGAAGCGCAGCTCATTGATCGCCGACATGGAGAGCAGCAGCTCGGCATGCATATCGATCAGCTGTAGGGTGTTGTGCAGCAGCGCCACACCATAGTCCTCGGTGGTAAACGGATTCGGATTGGGTATGAGATTCACCTGAGCGGCATCTCCATCGGCACCATTCTCGTTCGTCTGGGCCGCCTGAGCGGCGGCCAATTGTTTGGCCGCCTTCGCCTTGGTCGCCTGCTTGCGAGCCAACTGTTGTGCAGTCTCTTGAGTGGTGATCACCGTCTGGTGCTGATTGGTCAGCGCAATGCCCTGGTAGAACCACAGCGCCTTGAATATGTCCAATGCGGTCGCACTCGAAATGCTGAGATCAAGTTCACGAATACAATAAATTATCTGTGCGAATGACAGGGAAAAAGAGCACAAATATACTTATTGATCTGTGTATAAAATAATTACAAAGAAAGAACAGATTTCAATTGAAATACATTTTATATTTGTGTTGTGTCTTGTGAGATTTTCTTGTAACTCACCAAATCGGGCACATTGAAGCGATCCGCCAGTTCGAGTATCTTCAGCAGATGCTTGTGATCACGATAGGGTATAAAATGCTTTTCCATATAGCGCACGATTAGCTCAAAATCGTTCTTATCCACATTGGATATCTGAAAGTGGTTGTCGCTCTTACGGCCACTGTTCGGGCCGGCATGTATTAATTTGGCCAACTCGACGCTGCGTTCAAGCACCGATTTTCGCTCACAGCGTATCATATAACGATCATCGCCATTGACGACAATGAAATCGATGTAGGGATTCACAATGATGGGCACACCGGTGTATATGTTTGTCTGGCCCCGTGAATAGAGTGGGGGCACCACCATATGAGCGGGTGGTGCACTTGGCGCCGGTGCGCTCTGTATGGCATCCACATGGTGGCCATCGGGGCCCAGACCGAACGGCAGAACCATGCTACAGTTTAAACTCTCCTTGCCGTATGTGGGGTCGTTGTTGTTGTTGTTACTGTTGCTGTTGTTGTCTTGGTTGTTTGTGTCTGGCTGCTGTGGTATCTTCGTAGTAGAGGCTTTAGTTTCTGCTTCCGCTTCGCGTGCTTGCAGCGCCTTGTGCACCAAAGCGCCAACTAGCGGCAACTTTGTGGTGCGCTCCCGCTTGGTCAGCTGCTGCTCCAAGCGGCTGGGTAAGCGTCTCTGGCGATTCTTGTTGCCAGGTCGTTTGTTGGGCAACTGCAAATGTAAATAGAAGAAAATGAAATTAGTTTAACCATCATTAATAGAGTTAACAATTCAACGTGACTACTATCAGCAATATGAAATTTTAAATAGCCAATTGTATTTGCAATAAAATCATTCCCACGCACATATAGATAAGGAGAAGGAATCGTAATATTATCTGTGATAATTTCTTATCTATGTTAATTAGCTTCTGCTTGACACTATAATAGACATTCGCGCTTATCTACGAACAATATTTTTTAACAAAATTGATTGTAGCTACCACAATATAACACAAACTTACACTGTAGATAAGCCAAGCATAAGTATTACTTACTCTTTCTGTTAAGACAACAAAATGAGTACTAAACTTGTATCGACAAGGAAAGCACCTTATATTTAACGATAAAACATCCCTTTGATTTTTCAATTAGTCAGCTCTATCATTCAATATTTCACCATATTAAGCAACACGCGTTTGTACCAATATGAGTGTTAACATTATGTGTGCTTCCCCCACCTTTACTTTATCACTTTGGCTTTATCTTTCAATTGCTGTGCTTGAGCACTCACAAATCGTTTAATTTCGCTTTATGAGCATAATTGCTGATTTTTTCACGTGACTATAAATTAAGTCATTCAACGAATGTGACTTAAGAGATGCGTTCATAATTTTTGGACAGGGATCAATTGATTTCAAACATTGAATCGTTTGATTGCCAGCAACTTGGTTGCAATTCATCATCGAATGCCCATAAATCATATGGCCCACAATCGCGCTCTACCAAATCGCAATGTGTCCGATCCACCAAAGCGCGTGACACCCCATAAATTGTATAATGTCCCCGAAAAAACCATTGATAGTGTCAGATAAACAGACCCATCATCAGCAGTCTCACTACACAAATGTAGAACCCTGCCTCATTTTCACTAGTCTCAACTACAAAGCTATAGCGAAACCATCGGATATGGTCAACCCATGTATTAATATAGAACTGATAGATTATGTCATATAAAACTAAATCGATTTATTATTAGATGCCAAGTGTGTCTAACGCTTAAGTTAACCTAATATAGATTTGGAAACAAAGTCTTTATTACTTTTGATTGACTGTTAAAAATAAACTTGCTAATGTAGCATCTTGCCTAAAGAAGTTTATTTAAAAGATAGCCACTGGAAAAATGAGTGTGGTTTAAGAAAATCTTATTCTTAAAGTGATCAATTTTATTTAATTTCTCGTGTTATAGCAAAAAGTTGTTGGCTGTTTAAGAAAATCATAGAGTTCCTTAAAACTGTCTTAAATACCCATATGTAGGTATCTGATTAGTAGACCTCTGCTGCCACACTACAATTACCGCATTGTGTACCCTATAGAACTCTGGTAGACCCAAACCCTAACGAGTCTTAGTCCACAATTTTATCACCGATTGATTCACATTCGCTTGGTGTGTACTGTTGTTGTTATTACTGCCATAAGTACAATGCAAACAAAATTAATTATGGCACGCCACTATTGTAAAGAAGTTGGCGAAAGCGAAAAAAAAAAAAATAATGTTCAAATATTATTAAAGTACAGAAAAAAAATTATATAAAAAAAACAGCAATATTTGAACAGTTGTAAGGAAGACAAAATGTTGATGCCGAGACGAATGTCGAAATCGAAAACACTGCCCTACTCCCCACACTCATTCCACTGTGACTAACTCGAGCAATTCTGCAGGGTGACGGGGGTTGGGGGGGAATATATCGTAAACATTTGCTCCACAGCAAATACATATGTATGTATTACACGAGCAGGCGCATCCAGTTGAGTGTGTGTGCCATAAAGAAATTATCGTATGCAAATAAATTTATGGCGTTTAGCGCGTTTTTCACGACGCGTCTTTATCTGCAGCAGCTAACGCCCCGACCCCGTCGACGTCCCATCAATCAGCGCACAGCTGCTGACCACAGACTATTTTTATGCGGATCACAATGCATTGAATTAACATCAGTCTCATAGTCATAATCTGAAGCGGTTGCCTTTGTTTATAGCAAACCCTCCCCGTGCGTTAACCTGCCACATGGCGTGGTCGGTTTATGGTATTCTATTCGTCGGTGTGGGATGAGGTGGTGCGAGATGATAACCACTTCGAAAGTGATTCAAAATTAATTGCATGGCACGCATGTACTTGAACTTTACAGCACACAGGTCTAGCTATCAATGTTTGCACTGCTTACATTTTATTGTTTATTTGTTGTTGTGTTTATTTGTCGCTTATCACTATCGAAGGCTCTTGCTATCAATCAATCAAACGTGACTTAATTTCGTTTGCCACTGACTTTAGATACATGTGTATGTGTTTATCTATTCGAAACATATTTAGTATTAACTCTTGTAAAATCGTATTATTGTATCTAAGCTTATTTTTGCACTATTCGGTTCGATTTTTTTTTTTTTTGTGTTTGGAGTGCGAACCGCACGCGGCAAGTTAAGAACTTCGACTGATGCTTGGCCGGCAAACGCAGACGGCGACGCCGTTGCTGGCGACAACGTCGACGACGACGCGATTGATGACGGCGAATTTAACGAACGAAATTTGGCTTTAACATAATTCATAATTTGATTAGATGATATGACTAAGCTCTATTAGATTATAATTTTTATAATTTCTATTTTTATATTTAATATAAGAGAACTTTCTTTTTCAAACGCACTCTTATGTTTATCGAGCTACACATGATTAAGTAACTGAAAATAGATGTATTAGTTAAGCTGCAGTTCAATTTATTATACTGTACATATTTTTATTTCATATTTTTTATAAATTAAACATAATCCTAAGCATTTCCATTTTGCTACACTCTTAACTGCAACTCTCTCGAGTTGCAAAACGTGATAGCAATGTTTCTGAAATAACAAGAACCAAGAGATAAGTTCATTCGTAGAGCCGCAACGGAAATGCGCTCGAATACTTCGGTTTGGAAGTCGACAACTCAATTATCAATTTAATTTATTCAACAAACAACCAACGGCAAATAAATAAAAAAAATATATGTTTGTGACAGACACAATCAATGTTTGATTTTGAAATTAGCAAACCGATTGCAGAGCAGAGGCCTTCGCATAGGGATCTGGGTATGAGGGTTGTGGGTGTATGTGGGCATAAATCTGTGGCTGTGTGCGTGATGGTGCTGGGCGTGGCTTTGATTCTGGGCATAGGTTACGGTGTGGGTGACTGTCTCGCTGATATTTTGACAGCTGTTATTGTTGTCGTGGCGTTCTGTTTGCGCACGAATTACGTATTTTATTGATAAGTAGTACAACAGAATGTAGATCTATACAATATGCAGAGCAATCTGAAGCAAAGTCGAAGACTCAAAAGTAACAAATCCCACAAAAGAGCATAAGTATAAGCAGCCAAGGCCGCTTCAGAGCTGCATCTGCCTAAGTTTAAATACACACATAAACGAGAGTAGCGCTACAAGTTGGTGACCCAATTGCGATAAGGTCACAAATCTATTAGATGATGGTACATTTAAAAGTAGTATTTAACTTCACACAAATATATTGTTATATTTATAAGTGTATAGTATTCCAATTAGTTTTAAATGTACAACTCTTATTGCCCTTTCTAACAGACTTATTTAAGCTGGTAGCTAAAAGTTCTACCCAATTAACTTATTAGCTTTGTCTGCAAATATTAATACGCACGCAGCCAAATTATTTCTTTAAAGCAAGTTGTCTGGCAGTCATAGTATTTGTGCTCAATCATTCATATATAAGCTCAAATTTGTATAATGACTCACACTAAATGCTCGTCGAGCAGCCCTCGCCATGTTAATTCATCTCTAGTTATGTTTACTCATATGTGTATTATGACGATGGGGCTGTTGGAAATGCGCTGCATGCTAATGAGTCGTCACCGTTTCGATTCCGCGGAAGCCGATCCGAAACAGTTAACAGTTAAAAGCCGCTTTGTTAAGCTCACGCACTACCTTGACACTGGGCGCAAAAGCAACGCCCAACTGAGTGGCAAGCTTTGTGGGCAGGCAGCAATTCAGCAGCAGCATTTCCTTCCTCTTATGGGGGGTACATGTAAAATGCCAGCAGATGTTAAGCATTAAAACCCGTTTACGATCGTAATTTGCTGACAAAATGAACAGTTCAAATATTTGTATTCATAAAGAAAATTAATTAGCAAAGCGCGACAAAAAAACAACAACACACAATCAGCTGAACAGCTGCTACAGATGAAAAGCCATTTAATTAGTTTAATTAAACATAATTATGGACAAGGCGGCAAAGCGTAAATAAATTCTCAAGTATTTCTAAGTAACAGCCGCTACAAAAGCAAATAAACAAACAAACAAAGCGAAAAACAACCAAAACATTGGGCAAGAAAAATACGCTTGGAAAATGCGTAGCAAATTTCGAAAACCGACCTAATGATCAATGAGAGTGTCTATGTACCTGTACTCTGCGCACTGGGAGCCAGAGAATTTGGCGTCCAATAGTCCCAAAAATAAAACACTTGGCCAGCCAGAAAAGTTCAGCATATTCTGGCCGAGTGCGATGGCCCAGAGTTCTCTATTTATAACAAAGTTGCATTCGAATATTGCCAAAAATAAAAAGCGAATGTAAATTAATGACAGCAGAATTGTATAGCTAATGCACGCTGTTGTTATAAAAAATACAAGAATTCCAAAGAGAAAGTAAAAACTTAGGAAACTTGCAAACAACTCTATTTATAAAAAAGTTACATTCAAATGTGTCTTAATTGTACAACAAAATAGATTAAGAGAATCTCCCCAAAACTACGTAACATTAAAAAAGTTCAGCACGTGCATAAGCTCAGAGTTCTATAAATATAATATTTAAATTCGAAGAAAAGGGGAAGTTAATTTGTCAGCAAATACGTGGTGCGACACTAGAAAAAATTATTCAAACTGAATTGCTTGATTTACCTTTGTATTTCATATATATTATATTTATGACTCTATGCAACACAAATGAGATAACTCAGTTGAACCGTATATGACGACTTTGTTTTCTTCTTTGAAGCCTGCAAAATGCTATTGCATGCGGTAATTTGATTTGCAATGGTCACAACTGCGACTCGGTGGCACCTACAAAGTCAATCCGGCTGACTCATAACAGATAACAACGCCGCAGTTCAAAATATACACCGACTACGACAGGATTTCACAATGACATCATGGAGAGCCGTCTGGCACACACACGCTTACATATCCAGTCCACAATACATAATCACTCTAGAGTCACTCGGCCCACCAATAAAGACAACAATATTACTCTGCTGCATTTTCGACAACGATGAGTAATCAGATTCCAGAACAGCAAACCAAAAAAAAAAAAAAATACGAGCTGCAAGTTCAGGCAAAAGTTGTCTTGCTATCACTGCTGGCCGTGTGCCAAAAATTCAGAAATTAAAGAGCCAGCCTAAAACCAAAACAAAAGCATCCGAAACAACAGAAGACGTCAGTGGTATGTGTCAGTTCAATCAGTCAAGAACTTATGCGCTGCGGGTGTTCCAATTGAGTCATTAGCTAAATTAGCCCCAATTGAAGCAAACATACGAAAATACAAAAAAATTAATCAATGAAAAATACTTAAATATTCGGGTAAAATAATTAAAATGAATATAAAAAAAACAGCAAAAACAAATTGAGTTTTTGGCCAAAAACTTTCATCTGGCGCTAACAAAAGAATCGCACCGAATCGCCCACCCGAAAAGGCAAACAAAACATGGCATAAGGAAAAACGACAAATGGAAAACGAAAACCGAATAACTCACCCTATTGAAAGCAAACCCTACGCAACATGTTCCATGTTCAGCATGGGGTGCATTTTGAGTGGGTTGGCGGGTGGATTGGGCTGAAAGTGGAGCACGTTCTTGCTGAAACAATAAGCGAAATAAAGCAAATGAACAAATTTTCATTTGCAACGGCGCCAAATACAAACGCAACAAAAAAGTCAACGCCAGCAGCGAATGAATTGCAATGCGCAGGAAGGGAGCGAGTGGATTGGGAGGTGATGACTGATGCGGGTGTAACTGGCTAGGCCAATAGCCAATATCAAGTGCGCGACGATGGCCGTTAGGATTTGCTTCGGGGATTGGGGTCGCTGGCAGCTGGCAGTGACTGCGACAAGGGGGCAACTGGTGCCAAGGGCGATGCAAACCAAATGGGCAGAAAAACAACAGAAACAGTAACAATTGACAACGCGGCGTATGCGCGATGCGATGCGAAGCGATGCGATGTGCGATCTCAGCTGATGTTGTTCTTGTCACTGCCTGAAACACTGACACACTGAACGAGTTTTCTACACACACACACACACATACATACACGCAAATACACAAAAGCACACACACCCCGACAGAGACAAAAACAAATACACACTGAGCCAGTCACACACATACAGAAAGAAAAGGAAAAAAAGGAAACTCTCGCTTGCTTCCATTTCGAACGGCACTTGTGTCTCCGTGTATATCTGTATATATAGATATATTTAATGGATACACAATTTATGATTGCCAATTGCTCGCTTATGTTTATATTAAACGCATTTATTATGATTGCGGCTGCCAATTGCACAGCCAGAGAAAAACTTACCCCAGTTTTTGGCAGCAAATTTTATAGTTGGTATATTGAAACAATGCCTTTAGCTGTTTTCCAAAAACCTATAAACTTGAACCGCCAATTTCCGCACCGTATCTAATCAATTATAGCTTATTGCATTTATTTATAACAATTTCATGTTTACACACAACGTTCTATATACATTTATATATGTATACATATATGTTAAAACATATAGCTTCGCGTATTTATCGAGCAAGTTTTTACGCGCGACGTGCCAAGCAAATTGAAAGGCAGCTACGACAACGTTTCTGCTCGAGAGCCGAAAAGCGTATATACAACAAAATATTTGGTGTGCCATTGTGAGGATTGCACACACACACACAAACACACACAGACAGACACACAAGAGTTGAGCAATCCGCGACCAAAAACAATCAGTTGTAAAACATACCAAATTTCCCAAATTGGCGTTGCCACTGTTTTCCTCCATGCTAAACTTTCCACATCTGAATAAGGCTCGCAATGTTTAACTAATATTAAAAATCGTTTGAATATTATTACAGAATGTAATATATATTTTTTGAATAATTGTCTGATTTTTGAGTAATTGAATAAATGATATTTGACATTTTTCACATAAGCATTTATCTGGCAGCATTGTCTGTGGAAAACTCTCTCCGTTTTTCCGCTTTTCGGACATGCGCACTGCGACATCTTTTCGATTTTACGCTCTGAGCCGACCACAGGTCGTATGAGCAATCGGCAGTTGCTCAGTGCAAGTCGCAACATTTTCGAGCGTGTGATAAGACGCAATGTTACAGATGACAAACAGACAAAGGGCCTACGCACAACTATTCAATACTTTCACTTTTCCGAGCGATATGTGAAAGAGTGAGAGGCAGCGAGATGAAGAGAGAGAAATGGAGCTAGGGCATTTGGGAGAGAGTGGGTGAACGCTCTCGCGTGGGTGCCAAGGAAATTTGGGGGAGGAGGTAGGCCCTAGACAACTGAGCGCTGCGTTGAGTGAGGTAGGAAATTTATTGCTGCTATCAGACAAGTATGCACAGGCACACAAGCAAACATTTCCCGCGGGCAGGCAAAACAAACAAAAATTCGGGAACAGAAACTAGGTCAAATCGCAGCACCCAAAAAATCACCAATAAATCACCAACACCAGCAGTCTAGCTCCATCGTCTACTCTAAATTCTTCTACTAAATTTCATAATTGCATTTTTTTCCGAAATTAAATGACTATGAACCGCATATTTATTTCTCAGTACTTGTTCCCTGTGATTTTTTCCTGATATGAGTATACAGAATAATAGGAGTGAGTACCGATTATTTTTTAATATTTATAGAATAATTGTTTTTCATAATCAGTTGCTGTCGGGATCAATGATCCCTTGTCGGTATTATATATAAAATATTCTATGTACATATATATATTGACATATCGTGTACGCTCAGGATGCTAAGATGTACATGCATATTAATATATATTTTTAAAAAAATGTTAACATTTTTTTCTTTACAGAACACGCAAAAAAGATTTGGTAACGGAAAAACATTTCTAAATAAATGGAACGAAATATTTTGCACATACTTTCAGGCTGACCAACAAAATCAAAACGAACTTATTTTCTTACTCAGTGAAAAGCACTGTTCGCTTTTAGGTTGAATCATATCATTTTCTCGAATATAACGAAAATAGACTGAATACTTCACGCAAGCAGCGCAACAAGCACTATGTAAAAAGATAAACTGCAGATAACAATGGACTTGGCTATATTTATTTGTGATTTACAAACAATGTGGATTTATTGGCTTTTTTCAACAAAATTTCCATAATGTAACTTTTTTTTTGCGATAATTTAGTTGTACTTAAATACTACTTTTAAGCTGTTAAAAGGTATTTTTCGTTTTTTTTTTAAATCAAGATGAAAATTACAACAAATTTTCCATTGCGCTGTTTCAAAAAAATAACCAAAAAAGTTTTGTCGAAAGTTAGAAATGAATTTCGCAATTTCTTTTGTGTTGATTGATTAATTTGTATTTTGGATTCAAGGATTGAATCTTGTATGAATTGCTAATTCTATGTAGGCGGGTATGTACATATTGTACATGTGTGTGAGAGTATGTGTGTGTGTTTTTCATTGTTTGTTCATGAGTCGGACGATAGAGATGTGGTTAAGAGAGCACTAGCAGGGATGCTACCATTACGACGCTTGATGGCAATTTTGGCCACTCCCTTTTGGCACTCAGAAGAGCCACCCATCAGTACCATAAGGAGCCCATTGTGAGCCATTGTGTTCCAGACACGCTCGATTAAATTATCCAATTTTGTGGCTGTACGCTCAGCGGTTTCCAGCATAAAATCCTTTTCGGGCACCATCAGATTGGCAATGGTCAGTGCATTCTCCAGCGCAATCTCGTTGACCTTACGCACTGCCTCCTTGGTGCTGGGGACTTCGTGCACATAAACCGATTTGCTGCTGTCGCTGGATGCCGCCTGTTCCGCCTTTGTAATGACCTCTTTGAGACACGGCTGCATGTCCCCGACAGTCACAATGGCAGTGCGCTTGTCCCGCTTCGCTGCGTGGGCAAATAGGTTATTTTGGAGCCCGTCGCCGCTGGCGGCACGTATCACATCATGAATGCGTTTGCGTTGTGTCAGAATTTCGTCACCGAACTCAATGCTATTAGCCAGCTTCATTTTGACCAGCTTTAGTGTGGCAAGCGAATCCTCAATGGAGTCATGGCCATCTTCATTCTCCTGTATGCTCTCCTGCAGGAACGTCTTGGCCAAATGCTTCAGTTTACTCTTGCGCTTGCGCACTCCACTAATGTTGAAACAGACACTGGTGTCTATCACATATGGATGCATCATTCGCATGGCATTCAGATCGGAGTTGAGCGACTGACCCACAAGTATCGCATCTGTCGGAAGCAATGCGGACACCTCACGCTGCACATCCGCCAAACTCTTTGTCACCGTCTTCATTATTTCTGGCGTTATGCCCGAGTATTGTGTCAGATAGTCGGTGATTTTGTTAGCAGGACGAACCAAGGTCTCGTACACTGTCTGATATTTCTCGTCCACAATGGAAATACGCGTCAATTCATTTGCGCCTGATATGGTCCGACACATCTCACAATCCACACCGTACATGGGACTGCGATCGTTTACAGGTGCATATGATTTCTTCGTGAACTTAAACGAACTGAAGCGCGAGTGCAGCTCGCCCTGCAGCGGTATTGGATAGCCCTCGTCAACCAATTGTAGTGCCGAGAGCAGCAGCTTTGTGCGGGGAAACTTGTCATCTGGATGTAAATCAATCGACTCCGTTTGAGTCGAAGGCGACGGAGAAGGCGACTGCTTCTCAATGGGGAAAAGTACCTTTACAAATAGGGTCGGATCCTTGTTTAGCTCCACGGCCGATTCGAGAGAACCATGCTCGTTAATTAATTTCTGGGCCTGCACATTCGTCAGTGGAATCTGAAATAGTCAAGAGGTAAGGATTTAATACATTACAACAAGCGACATTCATTTCAGTAAATTCTGTTTTTTAGCCAGTGAGCACTTAAATATATTTCAACTCTCACCTGGGCAATGGAATCGATAATTTTGCCCTCATCGTGCGGAGGCAGAACCACCTCCAGCTTCATATCAAATATTCGATTTGTGGCCTCGAATCGGCTCTCATTGGAAACGTAATGATAAAGCGACAATCCATCCAGTATGAGGACAACGCTGTGCGAGAGACTCTGAAACTTATCCGCACTGCACCAGCGATCGGGGGCACAGGGGCTTTTCTTGCCAATGAGGGCCGCCATCAGCAGATGCTGAATGTCTGCCAGAAAGATGGGCGTACGGTCCTGCTGCGGTATCTCCAGCAAAGCACGCCTGCCCATGTCTCGCAGATGCACTTCGGGCACGCTCTCCAGCTCCCGCTTGCGGCGGCGCAGCTCCATGGACAGAGATTTGTACTGCTCATGGGTTAGTGTGCCAGGTAAATCGTTCAGTGTGTGTGTATCGCCGCCAGCTAAATTGTTGCGGCTACGTTTGATTACGGGCTCATCGGAGTCCGCCTCGCCAGCAGTGGCGGCTCTGATGATTGTCTCACTGCTGCTGCTGTCTGTCATAATAGTTAGACGATTTCGGGGCTTTCGTTTGCTGCAAACGGTAATGAAGCCCTCGTCCTCGTTTTGATTGTCACTGTCGTTACGTTGCTTTGACTGCTCTGCTTCGTGTATGCGATCCTTGTCGTTGAGCTGTATTAGATTTGCCAGCGCGGCCAGTTTTTTCTTTTTTTTGTCACTGCGCTCTTGCTGCTTTGAGGAGGATTGTTGTTCTTTCATCTTCATTATTCGTCTGTTGGTTAAACTGCACAACGCGATGAGAATGAAAACACATGTGAGTTTTACTGTTTAATCGAATCGTTATCGTTTAAAACAAGTTCAACGATTCACTCAAATGAACCAGCAACAGCACGTTCTCGATAAGTCTCATATGTTACCTAGCTGCTATTAACAGCATACGTTTTACGAAAAAAAAATAAAACAGTTGTTTAATTTTTCAATAAAATATTGATTAGTTAATGAAAGGCAGAATTAACAATTTCATATTCAAAATCTAGCTAGCAAATAAATGTAATGGAGAGAGGTTATTTTTTAACTTAACAGCTGCTCACAGTCTCAACAGAGACAAATACCCACTATAGTACTTAACAGAATTACTCCTCACTTAACAGAGTTACTTCATACATTGTGCTCAACTATGTACGAAACATTAACCGTTAGGATCCCGCGTGCTTTCGAGGAATTTTGTTAAATGTATCTTGGAAAAATTGAACGTTTATCAATTATTCGCGCAATAGTTTTGTAAAATAATGTACACTGCAGTAAAGCCGTTGTCCAAGTACTTGCAACTGAAGTCGGTTCGCATCTACGATGGCATTTTCACTCTCCACGCAAAAGTTACATGCGCTTTGTTGTTAGCCTTTACTTTTCTGCTATCCGCAAAGCAATATTTTGGCGATCCTCTCGTTTGCATATCCGACATGAAGGATATGGATTTCGTGAACACCCACTGCTGGACCATGGGAATGTTCATAATGGACTACGACGACAACAACCTGATGGCTAACAGAACGAAACTAATTCTTGACGACTTGAACAAATCCTTCTATAATCTTAAAATTGATAATAATTTGCTAAATAATCATGCGGCGCTGAAGTCAATAAGAAACGGTAAGCAGCAGGAGCGTGTGTTCCTGCGCTACTATCAATGGGTAGTGCCAGTTCTGTTGTTGCAGTCGTTCATCTTCTACCTGCCGGCATTTCTCTGGAAGATCTGGGAGGGTGGCAGGCTAAAGAATCTGTGCGCCAATCTGGACGATGTGCTAGCTGGGACCGAAAAGACAACTGCGCATCTACGCAAGGTGGCAAAATACTTTGCCAGGGATTACAAGGAAACACATCTGCGATACTTTGCCTCCTACATATTCTGCGAAATCTCTAACTTTGGCATAAGCGTAAGCAACGACATCTTCAAGTTAAAATCTTTTTATAACTAGAGTTTTGTTTTCAGATTATCAACATTCTGTTGCTGAATGTGTTCCTGGATGGCTTCTGGTCGCACTATGTGAAGGCATTGTCCGCAGTGCCTGCATATAATTGGGACGAATGGAATCGTATTACGACGCACATGTTCCCTAAGATTGCCAAATGCGAGATATTTAAATTTGGCGGCAGTGGCACATTGGAATCTGTGGATAATCTGTGTCTGCTGCCCCTAAACAATTTGAATGAGAAAATCTTTTTATTCTTGTGGGTCTGGTTCCTACTTATGGCTCTGCTGGCGGGCCTCAAGCTCATGTATCGTCTAGCTATCGTTTTTCATCGTGGACTACGCTTTCAGCTCCTGCGTGCAAAGTCTCGCTTCATGCCATTCTCATCATTGAAGCGTGCCCTGTGCGAATTTAGCTGCGGTGATTGGTTTATGCTGATGCGTGTCAGCAACAATATGAGCTACGAGCTATTTCATCAACTGATGAAGCTAATCCATGATGAGCTATGTCCCACTAGCAAGCCGATAACTCGTGACGCGGACGCCTGCTAAACTTGGACCTCATAAAAAAACTTATATTTACAAAGCAATCCAAGCGTTATATAGCTAAAAAAAAAAAAAAAAAACTGTCATAAGAGATGACCATTATTTATCTTAAGTTTTTGTGAATTTTGAACTGAAACCAATCATTATTATTTAACTAATCGATATGAACGAATTATCGACACCCTAATTTGAACAACGAATATATTACTCTAGATTATAGAATTACAAACCATCGGATTACTATCTTGAACATCTATCTTGTAAATGATACTCACCACTCGGTCTGTCTCTGCTGAGAATATATAATTGTAGCGCACATCTTGCTCACCCGAGGTGAATTGTTTGGAGTAGTTGATAAGACACTACTGAATTTTGTATCAATTTTTTGTAAGTGATTTCTATAAAGTGAAACAGTTAATCAACAACTTTAAAAACATCTTGTGTCTATTTACTTACATTAAATCGGATAAAAAAATTTGGATAAAAGTCCGAACTATTTCCTCGGAAGTTTTCATGGAGGTTTCTTTATGAACGATTACGTTTATTTTCGTATCTAGTTTTTTGAGGGTATCTAACTAAAAATAAATATTTGTGTACGTTTTGATTGTACACAATTTAAAAAGCACAAAGTCAAGGCATGCTCGACCCCAACTAAGGGCATTGCCACCCATCCAAGTGAATATATTGATAAGTTGTTGCATTGAGTGGTGGGTGGTTCGTTGCTCTGTAATTCCCTTCAACTTGCACTCTTAACGCATTTAATTGCTGTGCCCGCAATTTCGCTGCCATTTTCATTAACCAAATATTGTAAAGTTCAAAACATTTTGTACAGAGCACAGCACAAATGCAGCGCGGAACTGGGTCGACGTCGTCGTCAAACCCAAACTGATCCACTTTCCGAAAGCTTCATAAGCGCGCCCGCTGCCGACAGTGTCTTCAGTTGCCGTTCGGTGCCGGTTGAAATCGCGTGGAAGTAGTTCGTCGTAATCGTGTGATATCTTATACCCGACCAGCCCTTTGGATTACAACAAGCACTTGTTGCTGATTGTTTTTTTTTTTTGTGATTTTGTGTTGTTCTCTTTGAGTGAATTGGTGTAATCTGATGCTCCTTGTTGGGCAGCACATTGTATAATTAATAAGTGCCGCCAAGTGAAAGTCAAACAAATATTAATTGTTTGAGCACCATGAAATAAATGCTGTCTTAAGGATATGTTACAAATAATTATAAACTAAAGTGACATCAAGAAAATTTCTATAAAATGAAACTAAGTTTGAATGGTAATTGACTGCACTGTTTACCTATAAATATCGTATATCAATTATAATTCTTAGAAAATATAACATACATCTTCAATTAAAATAATGTATTTATTAAGTGCCACATCGAAACTTTAGCCAGACATTTAAGCTTAAGTTTTCATTTTGTGCTGTTCAATATTTTAGTGCATCAGCAATTCAACATATTGCGAAAGTGTTCGGCAAAGAACTCGCTGACCAAAATAAAAATTTTTAAAAAAAGTTGAAACTTTTTTTTATGAAAAACAAAAAAAATGTTTAATTGTGTTAAAGTTAATAACATGTAAACATACATTTTTGCATAGCTACACTAAAATCAATAATCTGAACTCTTACAATGTAATATAAATGAGAAAGAAAATCAATACTAAGCTTTTTTTCATTACAACTGAATGGATTAATAAAATTCCAAAAGATAATCTAATAAAATATAAACATCTAAAGTAACTGGCTTAGTTCTATATAGACTTAACGATATCTATTTTAATATGAGACACTTTTGACTTTCATAGAAGTGGAAGCGATGCGCTTTCACCGTATTCCTCGCCGCAATTGCTTTCCACGTCTGCCCTGCACCCGCATCCTAATCATATCGGTATTGGTGCTCATCACATTGCTGGTCTCTCTGATCTATCATGGCATTGTGCTGGAGCGCATGGGTAAGCTGGGTTACAGGAATTATCCTCATACGCTGTAGTATAATTGGATAATCTTTAATAGATCACCTACGACAATTAATGGCCTTGAATAGGAAACACGCGCGGCACATGCAACCCTTCAATGAGAATGATGCCTTTGTGATAAGCCCACAACCGCAGCCCTTTCGCATTCAGCTAATGAACGACGATGCAACAATGGCAGTGGCTACCAAAAGCGAGGAGAAAGCATTGCGCCTGAAGCATCTTCGATTCAAGTTCCGTATGAAGCGTAGATTTCGACCACGGCGTAGTATTCAATCTGTGGATCTACTCGATCCGTTGCAGCTAGAGCTGAAGATGCAGCATCTGTATACAAAATTGCGCAACAAACGCGCCAAGGCTGCGCTGAGTCAGCTGGAGAACGAATATGTGCGCTGCAAGGTGCAGACGCCAGAGGATTGCATGTTGGCCTTTATGCGCATGTACAAGATGGCCAAGGAAATCACCGAGAAGATGGACAAGATGAAGGAGATCATCAAGGATCATCTGGAGTCCAGCAGCATGGAATCGCAAGACTCCGAGTCTGACGCACCAGCAAAGACCAAGACCAAGAAAACGACTGTGCCGCCATTAGAGGAGCTGACTACTTCAACTTCAAGCGATGAGGAGACAACACTTAAGCCCACAAGAGTTAAGATAACGCCAGCAAAAATCAGTTGGATTATCGATGGACACGGGCACGATGAGCAGGAGGCATATGTGGAAAATACGCCAAGAGCTTTAACTACTACAGAGCTAGATTATGGCACGACAACAACGTTGGCTACGACAACAGTAGAGAGCACAACACTCACGACAACAGTGGAGAGCTCAACATTCACGACAACAGCAGAGAGCACAACAGCCACGACAACAGTTGGGAACACCACCCCAACGACAACAGTGGATAGCACAATACCCACGACAACAACTGTGAGCACCGCAACAAGTAGCAGCAATAGCAATAGCTCGTTCACAGCCACCACAACCACTGGCAATCACTTATTAGTTCATACCACTGAGGGACCTGACGTGGATGACATCATAGATCCAATCACATGGTTTCTTGATCGCTTCGATAAGCCCAAGGAAATTCGGCGAACCACAGTGCCAACAAATGAGAAAGCAACAACAATAGAGATTACTACTGAAGTCCAACAGACAACAACTTTGCCAAGTTTTGATTTTAAGTCAGGTCCACTTCACTCCGATGACCATATGACCAATGCTAGCTTTCATTCAACAACCACAGAGCTCACAACAGATGCACCAGCACCACTCACAACAACTACAAACACGGCAGAAAGTGAGACATTGCCACGCAAGCTGCAACACGACTGGATTCTGGATGTAGAGGAGCAGGAGGTGGAGCCCATTGTACATCCAGTCACTACACCGCCTATTATTAGTACTACGTTCAGTCCAAGCACATCGACCGATGTTGTGGACGCCGCAAACCAAACCGCCATTCCCACCAAGCTCAAGCCAATCAAATTCAGTTGGATCATTGATGGCGATGATGGCAGCATTGAAGAACGGATCACAACACAAGTGGCAGGCACCACTGAAACCTCAACGGATACCCGCACAGAAACCACCATTGAATCCACCACTGAAAGCGCACGTGCGATGCATCCTTTGGATAATCCCAGCAGCATTGAGAACATGCTGGATAGCTCCGAGCGACATGGGCAGGAGAAGCCGCTAATCAAAGTGCTGCCCGCCAAAAATGAGACCACATTACCCGAAAACTCCAAAAATGACAGTGTCTATGATCGGAATCACTGGCTGCATCAGTTCGAGCAGCAGGCATCACAGGATGAACTAATCGAAACCTTTGGCACGGAGCAGGATGTGAAAAGTCTGCAGCAGCTGGGACCCAAGCTCAATCCGGCCAGTGGCAAACAATTAAATGGTAAGTGTAAACGAAGTTAGCTTAAAATGACCAAACCCTGTATTTAATCCATTTATTTTCCAGCTGCCGATGCACAGCTGATGACGATATGTGCACACATATCACGAAAGCTGCGCCAACAGGCAGCCTCGGAGGTTGCCTCGACGGAGTCGGACACATTCACGGCGTCGCCAAGCGTACAGTTTACCAGCCGCGCACCTGGCGGCTTTCCCGTCTCCGGCGAGACAATGAAAGCCTCCGCCCAGTTCATGTTCAATCCGAACTTTGGCATGCCCAGTATACCCGTGTGCTTCTACATGACCCCGGCCAATTTCCGCATGCCCATGTGGTCGCCGACGCCCACGTTTATGGGCATGCAGGCCGGACACTTTGGTGGCTCCTCGAATGCTGGCGGCATCTTCTTTGTGCCGCAACAAACGTTTGGGCCGTCGGCCAACTTCTTTGGTGGCAGTGGCGGTACAGCGGGCGGTGGTGGTGCACAGAATCAACTGCCGAACATATTTTCGAAGAATGCATCGCCGCTGAAGCAGGGCGGCAATGGACAGCAGCAGCAGGTCTACTGCACATACATGCAGAACCAGCAGGGACATGCGCAGTCACAGGGACAATCAATACAAGGTAATCTCTCGCCTGGCAGCCAGGCGGGCTTCTCCAATGCCAACTTTAAGATGCGACATGGTGCGAATCAGACAAGTGGACCACAGCAGAGTCAGATCATCTATGCCTCCTATGTGGGTGAGCCGCAACAGCCGTTGGAACGTTTCAAGTGCCCGGAAGCTGATCAGTCGGCCTGCTATGGCCAAAAACAGTGCATTCCTACGTCGAGATGGTGCGATAATGTCGTCGACTGCTCCGATGGCAGCGATGAGTCCGCCTGCACCTGTGCCGATCGTTTGGATGAGGATCGCTTGTGTGATGGCTATGCGGATTGCCCCATGGGCGAGGATGAGCTGGGCTGCTTTGGCTGCGAGTCCTTGGCACACTCTTGCTATGAGAATGCCGAGGAATATGCGCGACACAATCGCTCCAAGTTGTCCATGTGCTACAGTCGCCTCGAACGCTGCGATGGCTTCCGCAACTGCTTCAACGGACGCGACGAGCTGCAGTGCAGCATGCTGATTACAGATGTCACGCATCATATGGTAAGCAATGGCATTTGTCTTGCAAATATCAGTAGTTATTGCATTTTATATCCCTTAGTCGCATGCGGCTACCTCATCGGAGGGTTATCTGTTTCACAATCATCGCGGCGATTGGTATCCTGTGTGCAACAATGGTGCAAAGTGGGCGTCCGATGCCTGCGAGTTGCAGGAACTCAATCAAACCACAAATGTTACCTTCAAGGAGTTGACGCTGACGGGTCCGTTCATTGAGCCGTCATTGCATGCGGGAATTCATTTTGCCCAAGCCTGCCATGGTCGCAACGACCAAGATACGCTAGTCAACCATGTTGCCTATGTCAAGTGCCCATCACCACAGTGTGGTCTGCCCAGCAAGCCCAGTCAGAGTGAGAACAAGAAGCGCACGAGAAGAGCACCGATTGAGGATCGCACGGATGCGGCGAAGACTCGCATCGTTGGCGGCAGCTATGCAACACAATTGCAATGGCCCTTCGTGGTGGCCATCTATCGCGATGGCAACTTTCACTGTGGCGGCACCATCTACTCGGAGCATTGGGTAAGTCTTTAGAGTCGAATACTGTAAGTTTTTATTCTCACTTTCATTGCCTCCCCACAGATCATCAGCGCGGCGCATTGTGTCATTAATTTTGGCAAGTATTATTATGAGGTACGCGCAGGACTCTTGCGCCGCACCAGCTACTCGCCGGCTACGCAGATCCAAACCGTTTCCCATGTGGTGGTGCATCAGGCTTACGAGCGGCGCACCATGCGCAATGATCTTTCGTTGGTGCGCGTTGCGGCGCCGTTGCAGTTCAATCGCTGGGTGAAGCCCATCTGCATGCCGGATATGGGACGGACCACGTTTGGCCAGGACTGGATCTGGGGTCCAGAGGAGCACACACTGTGCACAGTCGTTGGCTGGGGTGCCATCAGAGAGAAGGGTCCAAGTAGTAAGTATTTGTGGCTTACATCTAAAAGTCCTCATCCACATTTGCTGTGTATTTAAGGTGATCCCATGCGCCAGGTTATTCTGCCCATACGCAAGGGTTGCACGGATCCCGAAGATAGGGCATCGGAAGATGTTTGTGCCGGCGAGCCGGACGGTGGTCGCGATGCCTGCCAAGGTGATTCAGGCGGACCGCTGTTCTGCCGCAGCGTAAGTCAGCCGGATCAATGGTATTTGGCGGGCGTCGTCAGCCATGGCAATGGTTGTGCCCGTCCCAAGGAATTTGGAGTCTATACGCGCGTCGCCCTCTATCTGGACTGGCTGGAGTTGGCGGTGGAGCCTCATCTACTCCCAGCGCGGCAACCATTGCAACTCTGTCCGGGCTTCTTGTGCGTCTGGGGCGGCAAGCGGTGCATTGCCCAGCGAAAGCGCTGTGACCGCAACGTGGACTGTTTGGGCGGCGAGGATGAAGTCGGCTGTGCCTACAACTTCATACCGGACATGGTGGGCACCAGCAAACAGAACATCAGCAGCACCACCGAGAGCGACTATCATCCACCAACAATTCGCAAAAATGTTCCACAGGATCAAGAAGCACAACAGACAGAGAGCAAACAACGCCAAGATGTGTCCCTTGAAGATGCCAATTTGTCTGCTGAGATTATGAAAGTGCCACCAGCTGAAAGCGAAACAGGGCAGATAAATGCAACAACAATAATTGCAACAACAGAAAGTGATGACTTGAAAACAACTGGGGAAAATAGCAAAGAAATAACTCAAACAGAAACGGAACTGGAATTGACAACAGCAACAAGCTCTGAAACTACGACAACTTTACAAAAAGATTCCTTACAAACGACGACAACAGGGCCAAGCACACTGCCCACAACTTGGCCTACATCAACGGAGGATTTCATGAAACTTACCGATTTGATTAACCAACTTTTGGAGGAGTCGACAACAATAGCCACAACTTCCGGCGAAGGGTTGGCAAACACAACGCTGTTTACTTTTACAACTGATGCGCCCAGCTTGGCTACAACAACAATTACCACATTAGCAACAGTTGCGGAAACAACAACAACTGATGTTGAGACCACAACTTTTATGACTCCAACTACTGGCGACAACACAACAACTGATTCTGTCAAAACAACAATTACTTTGCCAACCACAACAACTCTGCCAACAGCAAAAGCGCCAACTACAACTACAACCACCATGCAGACAACAACAACGCGAACAACAACAACACCACCAACAACAACAACACCACCAACAACAACAACACGCACCAACTCAATCCCAACAACAAAAAGCAGCAAGGGAATCTCAAAGCCGCAGCTGCCAGATAAGTTTATCTGTCAGAAGTAAGTTTAATTCAAAGACCATTGGAATCTTCCGATTTTACAGTACTCAGTACTCGCTTGGAAAAAAATATAGCCTTTTTTTTTAACAAGTTGTGAGTTTAAAACAGTAAAACTTATTAAACTGTTGAAGATATAGATTTTATTGTAGAACTAGCTAAAGCCTCCTTAATCCAAAAAATTAGGCAGTCAACTTTAAAGTAATTCATAATTGCTGTATAATAATATTGATTATCGTTTTCATTGTAGAATGCCTCAAATTGTGGATATGCTGCATCGCTGTGATCGCAATGTGGACTGCGAGGATGGTACCGATGAGCTCGACTGCACCTGTCGTGAATATCTAAAGGGCCGCCTGAGCGTGCTCATCTGCGACGGCAAAGCGGACTGTGAGGATTTGAGCGATGAGAAAGACTGTGGTAAGTGAACGCATGGATCAAAGCAGCATAGTCACTTAATTGATTTCATTTGCAGGTGGCTGCCAGGAGAATGAGTATCATTGTGCTTTGTCCAAGACTTGCCTGCCACTGGCCAAGCGCTGTGACAATATCGTCGATTGCAAGTTCAATGAGGATGAGAAGGATTGCTGTAAGTTGTAATCAGGATCAATTTGAGGCTTTTCATTAATTAATCCGCTCTCTTTGTAGTTGCCTTGACCAATGGACACGATGTGCACTTTGATGCGCATCAGCAACCCAAGTTCAGCAGTGTTGGCATCTTTTCGAAGAATGCGCATGGCTTGTGGCGGGTGGTTTGCGCCCATGAGACTGGCTTCCATGAACACCAGGCCAAAACAGCGGACACTGTGTGCGCCTTGCTGGGCTTCAAGGGTGCCCATCACTACAATAGCACAGAGTTCGTCAACCAGCAGGAGATGCATCCAATTACACCGGAGCTGGCGAAGAAGTCACAATCGGGCTCAGAGCTTCAAACGCTGATGCGAGACAATGGACAGTTGTCCAGCGGCGAGAGAAGATTGCCCCTGGATATCCCTCACATGTTGCTTGGGCAGCATAAAGCTCACGTCTTGGCCGATAAGTGTGTGGGCATCTATGTGGAATGCAATCCACGTTCCAATGCAACGTTGCCAATGAAAACGTTTAGCGCTGGCCAGCCAATTAAACATCGTCCAAGCGAACATCTGCCAGAGCTGCTGCCCACCATCGAAACGCACAAGAGGCCGAATGTGCACTTCAAGCCGCAGTTGCCCGCGCAGCTGGTCAACAAGAAGGATGAGATCATGGATCGCTTGGATATGCTGATCAAGAGCAAGAATAACAAGACGCTGCTGGTGCAGGACCAGCTACACGAGGCCATTGAGGATCTACACTGGCCCTGGCTGGCCGATGTCTATGCGAATGGTGAACTCTGGTGTCTGGGCGTGCTCTTGGACAAGCACTGGCTGCTGGTGCACGAGAGTTGCCTTTCAGGCATAAGGTGAGTATTAAGTAAATGTGTGTGTTTAAGCTCCAATATATATGTCAGTCTTAATTCCGTGCAGCTTCGAGACGCACTACATCAGCACATTGCTGGGCGGTGGAAAGACCAAGCACTCCTTGCATCGCAGCACTCACGAGCAGGTTCGTCGCGTTGACTGCTTTGAGGCGGTGCCCAAGTCGAATGTGCTGCTGTATCATCTGGAGCAGCCAGCAAGATTTACGCACTACGTGTTGCCCACCTTCTTGCCAGATATGTTAGTCACGCAAAACTTATCCTCAAGCTCAAGTTGATTAACTACCAATTCATTTCCAGTTCCTCTGAGAAGGAGAGCCCACCACATGAATGCATCGGCGTGCTGCAAGATGACTACACTGGACGCATCAAAACGGTGGCAATTACAGAAATCAAAAATGATACCAGCTGCATTTCCTGTTATCAACTACAGCAGAGGCAGCCGTCTGGCAATTTGATGCGTATGCTAAACGTTAGTGCCGAGGATATGGCTTCCATATCGGAGGAAGTTGAATTGGTTAGCGGTGTGACCGCCAGAGAGATGCCAGCACTCACAAAATTCACCAGCTGCACGCAGTTTGGGCAGAAGAATCACACTGATGCTCAAGTCAGTCCCAGTAATCAGGGCGTTCTTGTTTGCCGGGATTCGCATACCGGCTGGTTTCCCACCGCCCTCTTCAGCTACAACAATACCAACTGTCAGAGCTTTAATACGCCTTTTGGCATTAGGACACTGGAGCAGGCCTACAAATCTCTGCAGGATATTATGGGTACCGATTCAAAGCATTTATTTGATCAATTATTCAGATGAAGATACTAGTCCATTGTCATATCTGGGACTTATTTAGTTTGTAGAAAAAACTGTAACGTTTTTGGTTTCTCCACAGATCAACCACACTGCAGTAATGTGCAATCGATGCCACCTTGCACCACACATCGTTGTCCACTCGGTACCTGTTTGGAACAGACGGCGCTGTGTGACGGTCACAGCGATTGTCATGATGGCAGTGATGAAGTGGAGTCCAAGTGCCGTGAACTCAAGCAGCGCTGTGCGCCGGGTGAAATGAAATGCCGCACGAGCTCCAAATGTGTGGCTAAGAGCAAGTTTTGTGATCATGTGCCAGACTGTGAGGATATGACAGATGAGCCAACGATATGCAGCTGCTTTACCTACCTACAGTGAGTCATTTAATACGAAATACAAAACATATCTAATTAATCTAATTGCATTTAGAGCCACGGATCCTTCTAAGATATGCGATGGCAAGCGCAACTGCTGGGACAAGAGCGATGAGAGTTCGGTGCTGTGCAACTGCACTGCGGATCACTTTCAGTGCAGCTCGTAAGTGAATCGAGTGAAGATCACCAATGAATTGGGCTTAATCTATGTCATCTTTAGTTCTCCTGAGGATTGCATACCGCGTGATTTTGTGTGCGATAAGCAGCCCGATTGTCCCAATGGCGAGGATGAGCGCTTCTGCTTTGGCATTGAGCAACCGCTTCACGAGCAGCAAGACGATTATTGGTCGCATAGTGGACACAGTCACAAAGCAACAGTGTCGAAGTATGGCCAGGTGATTGAACAATCCTACGGCATTTGGCACACCAAATGCTTTCCCAAGAGCTCGCCACCCAGCGTAGCGGAAGTGCGTGATATATGCAAGAAGCTTGGCTACCATCCAGATCGAATGCCGAGTTATCGCTTAATAGATGACACTACAAATGAGGCAAAGCATACCTTTGAAGTAGCTGATCACCTTGGGCGCAGCTTCAGCAATGACTCCTTGGTGGGCAAATATCGTGAGTCCACCAAGGCGGTAATCATCAGCAAATTCTCGCCACTGGAGCTGAACGAGCGCCTGACGCTGTTCCTAAAGCCTAGTCGATCGATAGCAGAGCTCGTCAGATGGAATACAACAGACTCGAATCGCTGTTTCAGGCTGGAAATACGCTGTGCTTGAGCTGTAGTAGTCTGGTAGTATCTCAACCTATCCGAACCAAAATTTCGTGATTGTCTTTTTTGTACGTTTTAGTAGCAAATAAAAACGAGATTCGTCACTTTTTAATTAAATATTAAACAGTTTTCTTCTTTTTTTGTAAATTGTATTTCTTTTATTTATTTATTATTTTTAATCAGTTGTCTAGTTTGCTGCATATTTTTTAAATTGTTTAATTTCATTTCCGTTTGTTTTTAATATATTTTGTTAACTGGGTTCTTGGAATTTATTATATTTAACAATCATATTTCTGGTTTTATAAATGTAAAAAATCGTTTTTTTTTTTGTTTAGTCGAAATTCAAACAATTTAATACTTAAAGCACTTATCATAATTTCTGTTTATCTTTTTTAGTTTATTTGTTTAGTATAAATTCGTTAAAAAGATTTAAGATTGGTTTGTTTTCGAAATAAAGGTACTTGAGAATTATGAATGTAAGTATCTTTAGAGCAGTTAAACACCATTTGGCATTATAAGTTAAGTTAACAATAGTTAAGGTTTAAATATAAATATGTATAATTATTTAACAAGCATCATAGGGGTTATAAATTGTTCAACTTTTAAAGAAGGCTGGGTATAATTTTGTTATAACATGTTATAAGTATTTTTTTTATAAGTCTTTGGAGTTGATTACAACAATGCAATAAGTATAGGAATACTCTTAATAGTTTAATTAAATAGATAAACATAAATTAATTTTAGGGAACTTTAGGTAAATACTTTTTAAGCTATTTAGGTGAGTTTGATTTTTAAGTAAAGTTAAGAGTGGTGTAGCTTTTAGTTTTTTTATTTTTATTTTTATTTTTTTGTTTCTTGTACAAAAAACAATGTTTAGTTTTTAATTTCAAATTGAATCACAAATGTTTTCAAAATATTTTTTGAGTATGTAATGAGTAACGCTAAGGCTAATGTTAGTATGTGTATTATTTAAATTTTGTTGTTGGTTAGTTGTGTATTTAAAATGTGCGAATTTTATTTTTAGTGTAGTGAGCGCATCGAAAAGCTATGCTAGAGTGTGGCCTATAAGCTTCCCAGTGTGGATGTTACTGATTGGATTTTGGGGGTTTGAAATGTGTATAGTACATAGTAGATACAGGCATAAAGTTTTCAACACAACCTTTTTTCGCGATTCTAAGTTCAGCGTTTTATAGTTTCAAAAAGCGTAAATGATTACAAATAATAAAATAAACGACCAAATTTCAAAGCCTACTTGCTAATATTAAACTAATATTAGGCTATACTTGCACCCATTTCAATCATTCGTTTGTTGCCTTTTTGCCAAACAAGTTTGTAATCTTAAATATCCTTTACGTTGTCATGAAACACAGCAGCTCATATATTTACATATACCTATTTGTATATAAATGTATATACCTACCAAATTAGTTACTTTTACTAATATTATGGCATTACATTCATTTTCAATTAATTTTAAGAATTCCGTTAACTTTACTAACTACATATGTTGTGTGGTAAATGTTGTTTCTTGCTAAAATTCTTAATGGAATAGTTGGTGCGTTTTTATTTACAATTTTCATATATGTATCTAGTAGTTGTTAACGTAAGTACATAGTTAGTTGTAGTATATGCTTAGTTAGTATATTAAAGCTTAAGAAGTTAGTAAATTTCACTGCAAGTTCTCACGTTTTCCACTCAGATGCGGTTCCTAACTCAAGAGATTGTTGAAATCTAAGTACATTTATCATAGGTGGTTAAGAATATGTCGTTCTTACTTCAGTAATACCTTAAATTGTTCTTTTTTTATGCATATTTTATCTGCTAGTTGTGGCGCATGTGTGGCTTAAGTATTAAAGCCCTCTTAATTCCAGGACTTAACGCTGTCACTTTTATATTCCATTAGCTACGAGAACCGAAAAAAAAAATTAAATTATATTTAATTTGTTTTGCACCCCAAACGTATGCCACAGATTTTTTTGTTGAATTTAGACCGAGGGAATGGCACAAGTAGACCTAAAAGCATGTTACATTGTCCAGCCGTTAATGGTACAAATCGTATTTTTCTCTACATTTGTTTATCAAAAACATTGAGCATGTAAATAAATAGATTTTGCTGATGTTTCCCGGCTTGTTGAGAGAATCTGTTTCTTAAGAGTATTAAATACTGTCATGCACCATAATGAAATTTAAACTTAAGAAATTGTTAATTCCATTCCATCTCTAGTATGGATTGGCAAACCATTTTCATACTAAAATTAAAATAAAAAACTAAAATTCAATAAATAATTCATATATTTTACTAGAACTTTCACAACGCACATAAGGAGTATAGGCTTAAGAACAAATCTCTTTTACTAAATAATAAAATAATAATAAAAATAATAGTAGCTAAACAAATGTTTAGCAAACACCTTTATCAGATTACGTCATTTGTGGTTGTTGTGCGCTTGTTGGCCCGTAGAAACATTGACTTAGTCTACAAATTTAACATCACTAACTAAACATTCATTTAACAGAAAAACACACTGCATTCAACAAAAGAATGCAACATTAAGTTAGCCAAAACGTATAAAAATCATATTTAAATATACATAAAAAGTTTGACTATAATTTCGATCACTTTACGATAACATTGGCTTAATGACGAGTTGATTGATTGAGAGCGTGCGAGTTTTTAAGTGTAGATTTGAGTTTCATTTTAAATAGGTGGCAACGTTAGCTGTTCCTCATCCCCCCCTCCCTGCACAATCTTCTCGCAACTGCTTGCTACGACGTCTGGTGGGAGGAGTGGTGTGGAGGCCACGAGGTTCTTAAGTACTTTTGTCTTTACTCTTTTCGAGCGCATTGTTGTTCTCATCAATGGGTGGCGAGTCAAGTTGGGTGCGCACCAAATGAGCTGGCAGCTGCATATTGATGGGATCATTCAGTCGGCTCAGATTGTATTCTAATTCCGCCGATTTGCGCTTCAGACGATTATAGTGCTCCACATCAAACTGCACTTTCTTGGCATTTTTGTAGAGGTTTAGCGAGTACTCGCGATTATACACGTTCTCCATGATGTATTCCTAAAGGAGATGGATTTGCAGGCATATCAAATATGTAGTTCACATTGCAATTATATTATCTTTGAACTTACGCGTTTGGTCACACAATAGTAGGCGTACATGGCCATTGTCGTGCCATATGTTACGAAATAAGTCACCGGCTCCATGATATCCCAGGAGTACTCCCACCAAGTTAGACGAGCCAGAATGCCAAACTGCACGGACATTAGACCCAGGCCTACCCAAGTCATCATATTGGTTCGACGTTCCGCCTTTTTGGTGAGCTCCATTTTTCTCTAACAGAATGAAAATAATTTTTAATGTTATTTGAAGTTATCTATATTCACTGTAGAACCAACCTCCTCGAGCGGTTCCAGCTCGTAACGCAGGTTTTCCAGTTCCTTGGCCAATTGATTGCTCTTCTCCAGCTGATACTCGCCCACATTGAAGGCCTCGTAGAGCTGCATGAATTGAGGTATGCGATAAAAAGATTGTTTTCAATTTGAAGAAATTCACTCACCTGCGCTATGATCTTGCGCACATCGTCCATCTTGTCAATCTTTTCCAGCGTAATCTTTTCACGTTCCGGCGGCCTCACATCCAAACTACGATTGTTAATTTGTATGCTGTCAAAGAGTTGATTAGGTTAGTTTGATATCAATTTGGAATATTCTGCTATGCTAGGCAGCCACCTAAATTTATCGTCCAGCAATCTTTCGATGGTGCAGGAAGAGGCAATACGCACGCCATGCTTGTTGATAATCGCAGCGCGATCTATGCCACGATCCTCCTCCCTCAGCATCGCCAGCAGATGCCCCACGGTGTGCGATATTGGCTTCAGTGCGAACTGGCACAGCTCATTGCGACTGGGCAGGCGAACTGTCAAATGGGGCATACCATTCACATACTCCAGACTAACATCATCTACAGACATAGGAAAGACAGGGAAATTCAAATAAGTGCAAACCTTCAATTTTCTTAAATGTTGTCTTTAAGTTTCATATACATAGAAGTACTACATAAAGAGTCTGCTGAAACTATGAGTAAAAGTGACTTTTATAAACTGATGCTTTTGAGAAAATGCTGAAAATTACTATTATCTTTTTATTTTTGAAAAGATTACGAGTACTTAGCTCAACACTCAGCACAAATTTGTTTAACGTGTCGAGTCATGTTGTGAAAACAATTCTAACCTAACGCAAAAGTTGTTTTCTTTTGCTTTGGCTTCCAAGTAGTGGTTGTAGTAAGTAATTTTGTGCCAGATTGCGTTGCAGTTATTTCTATTATATTTTAATTGCCCGCAGAGCTACTCAAGGTTGTTGAATGCAGTTAGTCGTACGAATTAATCGCTGATGCATGACGCACTGACGCATGCTGCACCTAACGTTTGTTGTGGCAAAGACTGCCAACTACTACAAATAAGCGTACGATGACACACAAATGACAGTGGCAACATTTCAATTAGCTGCTACTGCTGCAACTGTTGCTGCTGCTGCTGCTGCTGCTGCAGCTACATACTCTGTGTGTGTTTACACACAACTCTAAAAAATTTGTTGTGAGCTTGCGTGTTGAAGTTTTCACTTTGTCGCATGTGTGGGCTGCAATTTTGTGCAGCAGCTCTGAAGTAGCACAAAACTTAAATGCATATCGTATATGTATATTATATGTATATATGTATCGGTGTGGCACATGCAACACGCCAAGTGGCCAACGAAGCAAGTAACAAACTACTGAGCAGCTTCTAATAAGAGATTTGCCTCTGTTTAAGCGCGTTTACTGGGTCTTAGTTGGAGTTAGAGATTATTAGTTGCTGTTGTTGTTGTTGTTGTTGGCGGCGCCACTGAAATGTGGGTAACTAGTGTTGTTGCTGTTGGTTCGCTAACTGCGCCCAACCATCGACCATATAGCTCGATGCTAGCTGTTGTTGTGATTATTATTTTCATGCACTTTGATTTTTTGGGATTTTAAACACATTTGATGTGTACTGTGTGTGTTTTATGTTTTATGTTTTCTTTTTTGTTTTTTGTTTTCTACTTCTTTTGCCTCTTCTATTTTATTTTTGCTGTTTGCGGCTTCTGCTTGATTATTGATAGTTTAAGACTTTTGTGTTAATTTTCAGTTAACTTTCAGATTTTCGCGCTTGCAGACGTGTGTCTCGGTTTGTTGGTCGCCGACTTGAGTATTAAACGCACACACAAACACACACACACACACACTCTGTAATTGTGCTTTGTTGTTTGTTGTACGTGTACGTGGCAAGAAGCTATAAAAGAAAAAACAAAAAAAAAAAAACTAAAAAAAACTAAAAATAATAAAAACCATATGTGATATAAGATATACTCAACTAACTAACAAACTAAATAAGCCACAATAAGAAAATGGCCAAAACAAAAGTTCTATGAACTTTTGCTTGTGTTCCTGCTGTCGTGTCAAAGTGCTGCCATATTACGTCGTTTTTATCATTCGCAATTACCATGTTTGCTGCCTGCCACAATCACACACACACACACATGTGCTCACATATGCATTTCTATGCTGATAACTTGGCCTACCTGCGCAAAAAGTTGTATTTTGACAAGCGGCGAGCGGCAGTCGGTTGTAGATAACCAGACCACAGGAAACATGACACAAGCACACATGCCACACACTCATACATACGTTGGCTGTGCTGTCATTGAATTTGTTGTTGTCACCCGTGCTATTTATATTGGTGTTACTTAAATATACACACACACACACACACACTCACACACACACACACACACTATAAGAGTTTTCGACACCACATCAGAAGCCGCAGCAAGAGAGCAAACGTGCAAACATTGATTAAATTCATGTTTTCCAGCAAGGAGTGTGTCAGGTCTTTGCCCATAACTTTTGGGGCTTTGGTCTCATCAAAACTTAACGTGCGGTTTCCTCCATTCCAAGGTTAACCAGTGCCAAACACAGACACACACACACACACACACACACACACACACCACCTTACTCGAGGCTGGATAACGAAATGAGGTCAAAGCGTAGCAAGCGGAAATGCAATGCAGCAATCAGCCCACAAATTTGTAACAATCAGCTTTTGTTGCTGTTGTGTCTATGTTGTTGTGTTGTGCTTGTGTGTGTGTGTGTGTGTTTGTATCTGATGTTCGCTGTGTGTTGCTAGTTGACACGTGCAATTAACTGTTATATAAATTTACTATGCGAGCAGCGCTAACAAAACAACAATTCTGTGTAAGGCATTTGTTGGTTTAGGCCGACAGGACCTTGAATGACCTTCGCAGTGTGAAGTTAATATTCAAAAGTTCACTTGATAATGATCAAATTACTCGCTACGATCACAGAAATAATCCTCAAAACTACATTGATTTAAAAAATGAATACACTTTTAGTAATGGTTTGGCATTTTGATTTATGCTGCAACACGATCTGTGGATGGAGTTCATGTGAAAACTGTATACCAAAAAATGAAGTTCGGATTCGCTCCAAATTTTCAAATACGTGCTTTAAATGCTAATAAGCATATTTATTGATGCAGGGATATTAAATTTGATGTCAGTTACGTTCTGCTCCGTCCAGTTCTTGTCAGCTGGTGCAGCCAATCAAAATAGCTGCGAAATTGTGTTGCATACCTAGAGGCTGTTCGCATTTCAACGTTGCAACGTGGCGTATGAGCATTTTATGATTATAAGAGAGTGGCGTCTGTGCAAATTTTCATTTGTTTGGCAGTTTCAAATAAACCAACATTCTCATCATGTAAAAAGTCCTCTGATGCATTATTTATAATTCCGCGCTGTGCAATTTTCCTGTGATTTCGTTTTGAATACATTTTCAGTGTGCGTGTTTAACGATTCAACATTTAAATTAAATTATAAAAATTTGGCCAAAGCGCAGAGGAAAAAAATCACAAAAAAAAAACAAACAATTTCATGCATTAAACATTTAAAAACACGCTTTTCTCGTTATGCACAAATCTGTGAAAAAGAGTGAAAAACACACAAAAAAGAAAAGCGCGTAGCCCAGCAAATGCAATTTACAAGAGCTATTAGCGTGGAAAGTTCTGTTCCCAAGCGGTTTATTTGGGTGTAAAAGAGGCAGGGCAGCAATAAAACGATATCTGCTTTGAATGACGAATACGCGAACCGACGACAAAGGTTGCTGCGAGCGACTGTGACTCCTTTATTTGTACACCTGACCAACTGGATGGCTACCTACCATTGTGTGGCGACAGGGTCTCGGAGTTGCCACACGACGACGGTGACTCGTTGGTGGCAATTTGATTAACGAGCGAGGGCTGCTCCCAAGGGTTACACGACGACAAATTGGAGCTTGTTGTTGCTGCTTCTGTGGTTGCTCTTGTTGTTGTTGGTGTTGTAGCTTCTGCTGCTGCTATTGTTGTTGCGTTTGCTGCTGTTGCTGTTGTTGTATTCATTAAACGTTCAACTAGAGTCTGCTTTTTGCCCGTCACACTAAGTCCACGAGCTCGGAGACGCGCCTTCAAATCGCTCAAATTGAGGCTCCCAATGTCTTCGCCTGGTTACGGAGCGCAGCAATAAAAACACAAACCCAAAGAAAAATATATAAAAAAGAAAAATAGGCGTGCCAGAAAATAAGTAAAACAAAATTAAAATTTTCCATTGAAAGGTGTTAGCAGAGGCCAAAGAGAAAAAAAGGAGTTAAAGGTAAAGCACTAAAGCAAAAAATGCAGGAGCAGCTTCTGCTGCTCCTCGACGGCACCTTCTTGGCTTCTGCATAATGAATCAAAAACAAACAGCGTGCAAAGTAAAAAACAAAAAAAAAAAGAATCATAAAGGGGGAAAGCGTTAAATAGAGTATGCAGCAGCAGGAGAGACAAAAAGCGCAGTTAAAATTGATGGCACGTGCAGTTAACGCCACGCAAAATGCACATAAAAAACATCAACAAACTCAAGGAAATGTGTTAAAAAAAAAAGAACAGAAAAAAAAATGTGAATGTACAAAAAATGTTGATGAAGACACGCGTCGTGGACGATGGCAGGACCAAAGGCCTATGGCATTTCTGGTTTTGTGTTTTATCAAAACCTGGAAATGACACGCACAACGCGACACATTAATGCAGAGGAGAGATGAAAAGTGGGTGTTGTGTTGTGTGGGTGTTTGCTGACGGACTCTGTTGGCGATGTGGCAGGCGGTTCTAATGCCTTTGTCAGCCACATTATGAGCTCCACATTGAAGGACGACAAGTTGTTAAGTTGTCGGCCTCAAAATATGTCACGAATATTTTCAGAAATAAAAATGGAAATTTCAATGGAGTTAAGTTGGTTGTTTTGTTTATTTTTGTTTGAGCATGAATATATAAATCTTGATTCACCATTTTTTTTTGTTGGCATTTAACAATTTATTGCCTTAAGTAATTTGTCGATTGAATGCTTAGTTAATCTGTTTCTGATTCATCATTTAGAAATGTTCTCTTTTGTTTTCAAACTGATGATTTGTATTTATTCCAACTTTGGCAAGTATATTTTATTTGCGTAATAAAAACCTTTACTTGAATTAGGTCTGCTTCTGAATTTGGTCCATAATCCGCTTGATTTTCTTATATTGGTTTCCCTCAAAAGCCTTTTGCTTTAGATATAGCTTGTTGAAATACTTTAATCTGTTTAAATTCAGTAAAATGAGAGCAGTTCGTTAGCCCATTTAAAAGAGCTCTTAAAATGCTTTGAATTTAATCACGGCAACAAATCTGCAAGCGCTACGCACCAAAGCAGCTGAAAGACAACTTTAGAACAGAAAATCACAACTGGCAAAAACAGCAGTAAAATATATTTCCAATATGCCCTTAAGTTAATCAAATATTTATGAAATTGCAGAGGTTTTTCATGCTTTATTCTTTAATATAGCTACGCAAAATATAAACAACCTTTTATAAGAGCTCTTGAATAAATTTATGCAAGTTTTTTCTTTTTGTTTATTTATTTATTACATGCGTGGAAATAAATTTCTGGGCAGATTTTGAAGACCGAGGGCATTAAATAAATCGCATTTTATGATGCTATCAAGTTGAAATCAGTTTGTGGCAACATAAATCACGGCCAAACTCTGACAGCAAATTTTAATTTTCGCAAACTAATTTTAAATACAGATCGAAAAATGCATTTAATTAATGAAAAATTCTGAGTTGGCCACATACACACAGAGAGAGAGAGAGCATTTAAACCGCATGTCTTTCAAAGATGTGGGAAAATGCAGCAAGAGAAACGACCACTTTTCCTCTTTGTGTGTGTGTTTGAGGGTTGCTGCTGCTTCTGTTTGGGTGTGTTTGCAGCAAAGCCGCAGCAACCGCAGCGCTGGCCATTGTATTATCCATTCTGCTTAGGCTTTTAATATTTTAGTTGCGTTGGCTTTTCGTGTTGAGGGCTTTACTTCTGTGTACTTCTTTTCTTCATCTACTCGCAAGCATCGCGTGTGTTTGCGCAAACAGTCAGAGCAACTACGCCATTGGCACAATAAACTTAAATTAAAGCGAGCTAAAAAATGTAAACAAAGCTAAACAAAAATTGAATGCGCGCAAAAGTAGGCAATGTTTTTGCTTTTCTTTCCGTCTGGCTTAGAGAATGCAACCACAGCGGACAGAGTTTGGAGTGTAGGTCAACTGTGCGTTGCATGTTTACTTTGTACACATTTTGGAGTCACGGTTTGAATTTCCAGGGAATCGCTTTAATTATATACTCTTACAGCTGTTAAATTGTAAATTCAACCCATACACATAGGGAAGCTGAAAGTTTGGTTAGAGACTTGGCCATTATTACATTATAGACATGCTAGCAGGCAATTTTGCGCATAGATCTGTTGGCTCAAAGTCTTCTTCAACAGCAGGAAATTAATTTGCTGCTTGAAGCACTTGAAATATAATACCCAAGCATACATGCATATATGTATATATGTGTGTGTGTATTATGTACACATATTCAACTTCATGTGCAGTACTTAAAATACTGTTGAGCTGCTGTTAATCCCACAAACTGAATTTTCTTTATTTTCTCGGAATTCTGCTTCAGAATTTTACAGTATGCTTGCATCACTTGCAGTGCCTTATAATATCCATAATCGATCTGAGTGAGGTGCATGCTTCACTTGGCCTTGAAGTGTGCACACAGCGGAAATTGCACAATGTGTAATCCCATTTGGATGCGCTTCCTTTTTAACTGGCCCAGTGAAAAACAAACAAGGCAACAAAGTGTAAGCTCGTGAGAAACCTGTTAAGCACTTCACCTGGCCACGACATTTTCAACAGCAGCAGCTGTGTTGCGGTGCTTGTGATTGCCTCAAGTGTTGCCCTGAAGTGCTCCTCTTGGGCGCCCATTATACGATCTACAGACCCAAACCCTCAGCGTGTATGCAGCTCATGTGTGTGTGTGTGTGTTTGCTGAGAGGGCTGCCACCCGTTAAATTAATTGCGCCAACTTTGTCAAAGAAAATTTTCAAGCATATTATATCTACCACTTGCAGACGCTGCTCAACCTCATCAACATCATCATTTGAAATTGTTGTTGGCTGCGCCGGAAGAGGGCGTCGTTTTTAATATATTGGTTTGACGCTGAGTCCGGCAAATTTTGCGCGTCAAAATAGGCTCCGGACAGAGTCACAGCCTCTGCTATGGCGGCACGATGGGCAACGGATATTTTCGAACGTCACAAACTTCCACAACCTCGCGCCAACGGGACAAGCGGTAAGTCCAAACTTTGTATAACTCCGGCACTGGGTCAACATTTAAGTATATGTATTGAATCTTCGAGTGACCCTTTTTTAGCCCTCCGACAGATGTAGGCTATAAAAGTCAATGACGTATGCAGCAAGTCGAATAAAAGTCACCTTCAGATAATAAGCTTCAACTGGCCATCAATATTTATGGCAGGGTCTAAAGTTTGCCCAACCAATTTAAGAGATTGACCAACGCAAAACGGGTAACAAGGCGAGAAGCCATCTGAAAACTGATTTCATACCCTAAGGTCAAACAGTAGCACCCTTAATTAAGTGTGAATTTCATTTCTAATCCAAGTGAAACCAATATAAATTTATAAACCAAGATAATAGAAAATAAGCTAGATAGATTTAAGTTGACAACATTTTGTTCGTAACTTTGCATCGAACAAGTTTCATAAGCCACTAAATTAGACTTGAGTCTTTAAATTTGTTAAAGGCATCAGGGCACTTTTAACGCCTTAGGTCAAAAATACCTAATTAAAAATAATTTGATAAAGTTCATCGGTCAAAACTTCTTTGGCTTCCGTTTTACATTCACTTTAAAGGCTCTCCATGTGTGTTGAGCGTGTAAATTGAGCCGAAGAAAAAAATTTGAATGCCGGAAGAACAAAACTTTGAAGAGGTCCAGTTTTCGGACACTGAGTAGGGCCAAAGGGGAAACTTTACCACTTTCTTTGCGTTCATTTGAGAGCCATGTGCTGTGAAATTAAATTGCCTGGACCACAAACATGCGACGAACTCCAAATTGAAACAGAAGGCAAGCCAATTAAATCCGTTGAGTATTTTTTTGCCGTAGCTACACTTAGCGGCTGTCAATTTCATTTAAACACCGAAGATGCCTTAGATGTGGAGGGCTTGGAACATTTTTCCAATTAATAAAGTGCTAGCAAATTGGGGCGCCATGGGAGGCGGCTCTGCAATATGGAACACAATCGCAAGAATGACAATTAAAATGGCTTACAGCGCGCTCACCCATACAAGAGAGATATTGTCTGACACAGATGATTGAGGCGTGCCCGTAACATGAACCACTATCGGAGCAGAAGCCATTTACTAACTGCCCCGCCACTGGCAAAGCTCAAATACCAATCGGGCTTAAATAACTTAAAGGATTGCTTCAAACATCTATCACAGTATAATATTATAATAATAAAGTTATGGATTACTTATCTGATGGACTGCAGCTCTGCATTCTACAGAAATTCTGTTCGTTGTGAAATTGGAATCCAAATGTTAAATGCTAATCAAGAATTTGCTTTAGTTTGTGTACTATTTTCATTCGAAACAGTTTCATATGGCAATTTTCTGTTGTCTGAGTTCCACATTCATAATGATTACACAGCACTTTAATGAATGTGCTTTTGCTTGCATTCTAATTCAAAATGGAAGACATGTTCGACTAAGTTGCAACAAAAATGAATATTAATTTTTATTAAGATTGGGGACATTTATTGGGGTAACTTTATTGTAATATTGCCCTAGTTATTTCTAATAAGCTGCATTCTGCATTCGCACTTTATTAACCACACAGCACAGCTCACACTCCTGAAATTTGTAATGGAAGCGCCGCAAAGTAATGCAATTTTTGCAATATCCGTCAAAAGCGTGGAAAACAAGTCAACTGGTTTCTGTCATGCAGGCATTTGACCACAAATTTAGTTCTGTTTGACTCCCGAAAATTGAATTGTTCGTTATTTTATCCGCTTCACGGCAACCGGCAACCAGAAACGCTTCATTTGCATAGATATACGGTGTTGGCAATGAAGTAAGCAGTTTGTCTTTTTACTGAC